GGGGCTGGTTTTAAATTGACGATTTTCTGTCAGTTTATGATATCTGGACTTTTTACGTATTATTATAACACTCCAATCACATGTAAATCTAAAAAGTGCTTACTTCCTCATCCATGTGTTACAATCATCATCTTTCAGATGTTCTGCCCTAGGACTTTCATTTTGCTTATTAAAGTAACAAAATGTTTGTTTTTTTCAAAACTTCATTTTTTATGGGTTTTCTCACCTACTTTTTTTTTTATTACCTTTGTGATTCCAATGAAATTGTCAGGGCTGGTTATTCATACCATAACCTAACTTTATACAGGTGGAAAATAAAACGATGAATTCATAAGTAAGTTACATGGATGATTATGTAATAGAATTCAGAGGCATGAAGGGGTAGGTCAGTTATCCATCTGTAACTTTTTTCCTATTCAAGATATCAAAAATCACAATCGCATAAAATTTTATATTGAGTATATATATATATATCAATGTACCAAATATGAACAAATTTGGTTGATAATAAAAAATCCTTTTTACTTTTATGAAAGCTGTTTATTTTAAATATGGCGGCCGTTATCGCGGCAACCTTTGACTTAAACAAAAAAATTAAATTACATTTTACATAATTATGTTTTTCCGTTACCCTCCTTGCTATGAGCCTTTATCTAAAAAGGCTATAGTTACCGAGATAGAGTTATAAACTACCCCCCCCCCTTAAACATTTTCAGTTGATAGAAAATTTTGATTTTTTTCCCGGGTGGCAGCCGAAGCCTAGTCTTATCGACTTTGGACCACCAAGGGATCTGAAACGTGCTCAACTTGCACACGGAACCTCTGAGATTTTTTTCGCCCTAATCCGAGAGGGATAGGTGTAGATCGTTCCTACCAGAGGATCAGGGGTGTGGCTGAAAGACAGCATTAAGGAGTCAAGGAGTAGCAGCAGCAGTGGAAAGGCAGTAGAAAGAGTCAGAAGCCCAGAAGAGGGGGCAAAGGAGGCGAGACGGTGGGGGCAGAAAGTGGAGACGAAAGCAGACGACAGAACATTGTTAGAGATCAAGAAAGAATATGAAATAAGAAAGTTTTAGAGGAATGAGAGGCGAATGCCTTAACCTTTAGGCAACAACACTAGTGCAGTTACTGGTTCAGACCATTTCATTCGCCTGTTTTTTTCTTTACCAGTTTACCTACATAAAAGCTAAGACAATTGAGTTTGGGCTTTTGCACTATGTCGATTAACTGAAATAAAAACAGAGACCTTTGCCTTCAGATCTTTTCATCTGAACAATCCAGTCTTATCAGTAAAGTGAACTCAGCGCCTGCCCTTCCTTTTCTGGCCAGGAGATATTAAACGAAGCTCTGCCGTTGGTTCAGTTGATTGGTGAATAGTGCCCCGTAACCACATTTTGTGATTCAGAAGCTGGAGGAATAACTTAACAAAGGCACACTTTCAATTTAGTTTGTATACAATACTAGAGAAAGAAAAATGAGACAATTTTTCTTGTGCAGTAATATCAAACTTTGAACTTTATTAACATGTGAAAAGAATAATAATATAAACTTAACAACATCAATGAACTTTGAAAATGAAATACCCTGAACTCAAAAGGCTAACAGATCTGTCAGATGGAAAATTAATTAACTGCACTCAAAACAAAATATCTATTCAGCACACGATACAATAGAGAGTGTGAAATGGGAAAGCACTTTCCTTGTAATGGAACTAAAAAACCCATTAATGTCAGTCAGATCTTCTAACAACAATTTATATTCAAATTTGAAAAGATTTCGCTTAAATCCTTCAAAAAGATACTACAAACTCAATCATAAAACATCAATACAACAAATTATTGATGAGGAAATATACATGGACTTGTCTAGATTGCCTTCAAATCCTGACATCGAACAAAACCTTTCATCTGAAATAATGCACTCTTAACTGTCAACTGGACTCAGTGCTTGCACTTGTCTTGCAAAAACATCTATACATAAATTTATGCATGGTACTACATGTACAATGTTTTCAAAGTCTTATCATGGGTTTAATAACTCCTTTCATACTTTATACCATACCAAAACAACCATCATTGTGTTTTGTCAACAAAGTCAAGGAGCAAGTATACAAAATAATGGTTCTGCTAGAGCCTCATAGATCAGAACCATACAAACAGGAAGGCTGTTTACCAAAGAATAAAACGCAAAGACAGTCAGGAAGACAAATTGAAAGACAGGCGCATAACAGAAGTGTTGATGCACATCAGGAGAGTAAACAGATAGACAGAAACAAGGAGCTTCTGAATCTGAGAGTTGACAAAGTTAGGCGCCTCAGAATGACCAGGCCATAAACAAATCAAAATCTTCAACTCTTAATCAATAAGTCAATTATTAAACAGATGAGAAACGCCCTTGGAACGATGATCAAACTGGTTCCAAGCCAAGCCACTGATCATTCGTGATTATTGAAAAGGATTGGTCTCGGCACTGACCTGTAAAGGACACCAAAAATTGTTATGAAATCACAGTGTGAAGTTAGGTTTCAGTAATTTTGCATTTGAGCATGGGAGAAGCATACCGAAGAAAAACAACAACTTAAAACAAATAAGGAAAGAAAGAAAGAAACTAATCCATTACAGCAACTCGAAACAAAGAAAACATGGATACCTTTGGTGATCTAAAATTGATTAGTAAAGATGAAATAAAAAGAACACAAAAAGCATTCTGTGACACTGCCCTAAAAGCCCTGACCCTTACGTCAACCATGAATGAATGCCTTGCTGACTTTCTTTCCTTTGCTTGATTTTATGGGTGGTGGTTCGTGGTTGTAATTTTGTGAAAGAGGGAGAGGGATGGATACAAGAACAAATATAGTGGACATCTGAAGATGGTAAGAAAGTACACTATTTACTTGAAAATGCATTGCAACATAAATAAGCCAAATTTGAATGAAGTGGTGATTTTGTTGTTGTAATTTTGGGGAAGCGGGGAGGGGGATGGAGACAATACAAATATAGTGGACATCTGAAGACGGTAAGAAAGTACACTATTTTCTTGAAAAATGCGTAGCAACATAATTAAGCCAAATTTGAATAAAGTCAGAGACTTTCTCTCTTCACTTATGTACAGCATCTTTTGTCCTCCAGCAGATGAAAAGGACTTAAGAAGTCGTCACATCATCATAATAGTTGTTGAAGATGCAAAAGTAAAGTGATTGTGACCAAAGTAAGCTTTAAAAAAAAAATGTCCATGTATGTTATAGCTCATGTTCAAGTAAAGAGTTGTGAAAAGTACAAGGAAGGCAAGTAGAGAAGAATGTGATATCAAACTAAAGTATGACTATAATTCATTCTAACCGACAAGGTACCTTGTTTCTAATGACATCACCTATTTCATCATCCAATATAATTTTCCAGAGCATAGCTTGTCATCAATCCATTCATAAAACTAAGAGGAAAGAGAAAATTATCTTTACTAATAGTAACACAAACACTGTAATTTTGATCATAATAAGAAGGCAGAACCTATCTCCCATTTCTTTTCATGTACAGTCAGAATAGTCTAACACAGCCGCTCATAGTTGAGGAGAAAAGTGGTTCTCTTAAACAAGCATACGTCTTGAAAAGTGTCCGTATAGAAAGGGCTGAAAGGGAAAATGAGAGGTGGTTGTTTGTCCAGGTGATTGTCTTAAACAGGTGACTGTTAGAGCAGGTTTGGCTGAACATGCTTTGCAGATAGAGAGAGAGGTTGCATGTCTTAGGGACTGCATGGGTGTAGGATATGTTTGAGTGAGTGTGTTTGTGCATGCCAGGTAGAGTGATCATTTGACATGACACAGCGTATTTGTATTTTCTGCGTTCAGACGCTAACAAGAGAATGGGTAATTTCTTCCATAGAGGATCAACAAGGTGTTTCTCTGACTTTTATAAGCTCACTATAATACTTACAAAGGAGTTCCATTGCTACAGGGCGTTAAGTCCGATGTTCCAACAGAGCCTGAAAAAAAGCAGCAGTAACAGAATAGGCCGACTTGAGATTCAGACTTTATCAGTTATAATAAAAGAAACTGCACATATTTGGACTGGACCGTCAACCCTGAATAAAGATATAAAGATTGTCCCTGTCGTTGTCAAAACAATACAGCATTAAAGACATGAGCCACTACTTAAGGAAAATAATGACATGCATTTACAAAGAATATGGGGCAATCTCCCCCCCCCCCCTTTCAATTCTAGATAACTCAAGTAACACCATTGATTCTAATATATAACCCCTTCCACTGTACTAGTGGAAGCAGTAAAGGGGGGGGGAGGAAGGGAGAAGTGAAGGCGGAGGCCTGCTGTCCTGTCCATCACTAAACATTCATTGCGCAGGTCAGGTTTACATCAAATAAAAGGATATGAAAACAGAAAAGGGAGCATCAGCAGTTGTACATTCCATTAGCATTAACTCAACACAGGACGATTGTGGCCCACGGTAGCAATGCAGAAAAAGACTTTAGCAAAGGGAATAATCATGAAAGTACTAAAAGAAGAGACTTGCCCTTGGAAAATTTTGCAGCAGAAAACTCGAGGGAGAAACAAGTAAAATTATAATTCAATACAGATGAGAAGGAGGAGTGGATGCACATTGCAAAAGACAAGGAAGCACATAGACAGAGATGAAAAACATAACAGAGATGTGACTGTTATGGCAGAGAGTGTCACTCATGCACTACTCTCATCCGAAATGGATGACGCTACTTTAGCTGAGCAGAACAGATACATTATCATTATTAGACAACACCATCTATGGGTAGTCTCTTGATAGATGGAAGCTTACAGCAAAGGGAAGTAACCTGTGAGCCTCTCTCTCTCTCTCTCTCTCTCTTGCCCTTTTTAACTCCCAGTGGAGCACAGGCCATCAACAGCATTACTCCAGCGAAGCCTGTCCTGAGCATCCTTTTCTACCTGTTTCCATGATGTCCACGCTTTTTCAATTCTCGCTAGTACAGCTCGCCTCCATGTCTTCTTTGGTCTTCCCTTCTTACGTTTTCCATGTGGGTTCCACGTTAAAGCCTGCCTGATGATGCTTGTCGGGGGTCTCCTCAGGGTGTGTCCAATCCATTTCCATTTCTTCACCTGTATGTCTTCCTTTACTGGCCTTTGACTTGTTGTTTCCCACAGTTGAGCATTACTGACTCGATTGTACCACTTAGATCTCCACTATCCTTCGTAGGCATCCATTTACGAAGCTCCGCAGTTTCTTTGCTGATGATGCTGTGAGCCTCCATGTCTCTGAACCATACAGTAGAACAGTCTTCACGTTTGTTTTGAAGATCCTCTGCTTGGTGTTCATTCCCAGTTCCTTAGACATCAATATATTCCTGAGAATGATGAATGCTGCTCTTGCCTTTTGGATTCTGGCCTTGATGGCTTCGTCTCTTCCCCCTGCCTTGTTGATGACACTTCCTAGGTAGGTGAAGGATTCAACATCCGCCAATGGTGCCAGTGTGATAGGAACGTCGGATGCATTTGTTAGTTGAACTTTCGTTTTATCCTCGTGAATATGGAGTCCAACACTATGGGAGGTCCTGGGGCGATCTGTTTTCTGTGGCATCAGGGCTCGACGGTGAGAAAGAAGTGCCAAGTCGTCGGCAAAGTCCAAGTCTTCCAACTGACTGGAAAGGGTCCATTGTATGCAACCGCGTTGTACCGATGTTGTCCGTCTCATTATCCAATCCACTGCTAATAAAAAGAGAAAAGGCGATAGCAGGCATCCCTGTCTCACTCCTAACTTCAAACGAGTCTATCCGCTGCCCTTCAAGTAAGACACTCAACTCATTCCCTCACACATCTTCTTGATCAATCTCACGAACTTGTCAGGTATTCCGTAGTGGGGCATGAGCTTCCATATTGAGTCCCTATCTAGGCTGTCAAAAGCTGTCTCGTAGTCAACAAAGTTAACGTAAAGAGAAGATTTCCACTTTGTGGACTGCTTCACTATTATCCTCAAAGTTGCAATCTGATCTGTACATGATCTCTTTTTACGAAATCCTGCCTGCTCCTCTCTTAGTTTTGCATCTACGGCTTCCTTCAGTCTTTCCGGTATGGTACGACTTAAAATCTTCCCAGGAAGGGACAGGAGCATGATTCCTCTGCAGTTTTTACACTCATGCAGGTCTCCTTTCTTGGGTAGTTTCACGAGCAATCCCTCTTTCCAACACTGTGGAAATTCTTCGCTGTCCCATACCTTGTCAACAATTCCATGAAAAATCCCTGCCGCAGTGTCGATATCCGCCTTGAGAACTTCTGGGGAAATTCCATCTGAGCCGGCTGCCTTGCCTGCTTTCTGGTGTCTTATCGCCTCCTTGATCTCCTCTAAACTAGGCTTTTCAGACTTTTCTTCACTCACCTCCAGATCAATCTCTGCAGGTGGGATGTCAAACTGTTTTTCTGGCCTTGGTCTATTCAGTAGCTCTTTGAAATGCTCCTTCCAGCGTTCTGTCTGTTCGTCTGGATTTGTGAGAAGCTTTCCCTCTTTATCCTTAACTGGCACATCTGCGTTTTTGTATCTGCCTTCAAGTTTTTTGGTGGTTTCATACAGTCCTCTCATGGTTCCTGCCCCTGCTGCTTCCTCTGCCTCGCGCGCTATGTCATCTACATAGTTTCTTTAGTCTTTCCGTACGCTGACTTTTACCTTCTTCATTGCTTTGGTGTATTCTTCTTGGGCCTTTGCTTTGGCTGCTCTTGTCTTGTTCCTGTTTACCTGATCCTTTTTCTTTTTCCAGTCTTCTATCTTCCTCAGAGTGGTGGCCGATATCCATGGCTTGTGCTCACGTTTCCGTTTCCCCAGTACCTCTGGACACACAGTGGTCCAGCTTTCTTTTATTGCCTCCCATATTTCGTCCACGCTGCTATCCTCGCCTAGTATTTCCAACACTTGGAACCTGTTCTTGACCGCTACATTAAACTCCTCTCTTGACGATGGCTTTCTCAGAAATTCAACGTTGTACCGGTACCTATGATTATTGACAATTCACGGTCTTCGCTTTAGTTTTAGTCGGATTGTTGAAATGAGCAGATGATGGCCCGAAGCTACGTCTGCACCCCTGTAAGCTCTAACATCCCTTATTGGTCTCCTGAATTTCTTGTTGACACATATGTGGTCAATCTGGTTTTCAGTTTGTTGGTCTGGCGACACCCATGTTGATTTGTGTATCTGTTTATGTGGGAAAAGAGTCCTTCCTATTATGAGCTCATTCGTTGCACATATTTCTGCAAATAGTTCTCCATTCTCGTTTCTGACTCCAAGTCCGTGTTTCCCCATGATTTCCTCAAAGCCTGCATTGTCACTGCCTACCTTAGCGTTGAAGTCTCCCATTAAATTCTAGATGTCCTTCCTTCTAACCTGATCAATAGTATTTTGTTGCATTTTGTAGAAAGTCTCTTTTACATCCTGGTCCTTATCATTGGTGGGGACATATCCCTGGATTACACAAAGGTTGATGTCTTTCTTTTGAGAATGGAATTCAGCTGATATTAGTCATGGGCCCTCTGCTTTCCATCCTATCAAAGCCCGCTTGGCGTGTGTTGATAACATAATACCTACTCCTTCTGTATGCTGCGAGTTTTTCTCCAGACGTCCAGACTAGAGAACTGTTTCCCCAGAAGCAAGTTGGCACTCCCCTGCATTCGTCCATCTCGTCTCACAGAGACCCAATATGTCCAATTGGTAGGCCTCCATCTCTCTTGCAACCTGCAGTGCCTTCCCTGTCTCGTACATTGTACGAATATTCCAGGTGCCAAGTCTGGTGGTTCTTCTGGTCGACAGGAGGTTTCTCAGCTTGGTGGCTTCCTTTCGGCTTTCACCACCCTGCGTCATTCTACACTCTATATTCTCTCCTCTCCTCGGTGATGAACGTCCTCCATCTTCCAGAACTGGCGGTCGTGTGGTTTTTACTGTGGATGTTTTTGTAGCTGCTTTTCGTTTTACTGGAAAGGACTGCTAACCCTTTGCCCGACCGACCTTAGTCGCCTTCTACGACATGCGCGGTGCGGATACAGTGATCCAATTCTTTGCTCCCCTGTCTCTTGGACAGGGCCCCGAGAACCACACGGGTCTGTGAGTCTCTGCAGGTTATATAAAACACTAAAAAAAAGATTAGACGAAGTATTACACAAAGAAAATGAGAGCAAAGATGACTCAAGCTGGTATCATGATAGACTTCTGTGCAGCTGACCATAGTTCTAACCCTTACAGGGGCATTCCTGATTTTGGGGTGCTTCTGGGGATTTCTAGGCTCTCCACCACTCGGATCAATTATGTACGCGATGAAAAGGGAAGGTTGTAGGAAGACCCCTTTATAGTGCAGCAGAGTTAGGAATACCCAAGTAGTGAGATTTGTGGTCACTTTTGGGGGTGAAAAATTTTCCTCCTCTCAACACTAAAAGAGCAGCTTAAGCCATTACTAGAGACCTTGTAGCAATAATAGTGTATAAATAAAAAGACCATGCCGCTCCCACTACTAACAGATGAACTGCTGGCAAGTTTCCTTAAAAACAAAACAATTCAGTTGGTATCACAGTGGACTACAATGGGGATGACCTTGGGTCCATTCCTGAAAAGTCAATCTTGGTCAGTTTAGGAACTTTTTAAGGGCTTCAACCCACTTACAATATATCACGCTTATAGCAAAACACTCACATAGCAGATAGACATATTTTAAAGTACTGAACTTTTTCTTATACATGTTCCTTTGTGTTTAAAAAACTTACAAAGCAAAATTAGTACAAAATGGAAAAAAATTCCGCGCCTCCTCGATCTTGCTATGTGCGAGGTAAACTGTAAACTGAAAGTTCCGTAATACAGCAATGGTACTGAATGTGGAAAAAAAACATACGATACATTGAAAATCCTACCTAATCTTCCTCCAGAAGGTGGTGTTCTGACCAGAAGTCTTCCAGGCTGATTGAGAATGTTATAACCACCAGAGCACTAGAGGATAACAGCAAGCAACATTCAGAGAAAAAAAGAAAATAAAAGGATAAAAGTGGTTATTTGGGAAATCTGAACACACTTATGTTACTCAACTGCACTGGCATAAAAGCAAAAACAAAAACTTTTTAACTCTTTCAAAGTGCAAAGGATACCACAATTTGACGCACCCACTTTGAGGGTATTTCCTTAAAACCAATATAATTCAAATATCGGCAATGGATTCCTTTGTGCGAGCACTCAAACTATTCATAATTGGACAGAAAATCAGAATATCAAATAATAGGCAATAAATGTTGCACAGGACCTGGATGTAGGTCTTGGGGATGACGAAATCGGTACTGCTAAAACGCCACATAAGTTGCAATCCGATTCAAAGACTTTATCTGACAAAAGCAACTCTGTTCAAAGTGTATTTATTTCAAGAGTCATTTGAGCACACTTTGTACATACCCAATCTGCTGTTCTATATCACCAAAAGAAAAAGAGTTAAAAAAAGGTATATGAAAACACAGCTTGAGGGAACAACATCTTATCTGACGGATTTGACTGATTAGAATAAATTTAAACTTTTTAGAGACATTAATAAACAAGCTGCTGGTCCCTGCACCTGGAAGGCACCACTGTTAGGTTCTAATTCTTATCTTTCTCTGTCATTTCCATACATCTAATTTTTTCCCTGCACTAAATATAATCAAAACTACGTACTATGTTAATATTTCATGAGATTTTTCATCATTCTTCATTAAGTGTACACTAAAAATCAGAATAGACTGAGCACTCCCAAATACATGCCTTTGATGAAAACTAAAACTTAGATATAAACAATAACTTTTCCAAAGCCAAGATGTTAAAACTGGTCTTTCACATTCAGGAAACAGATTTAGCTCTTTTGGAACAAAATGCAAATTTGAAAATCCTCACCAGTGAACTTATCTTCGTGCCAAGAGACTGCCTGTCACTCGATGTCAAGGAGACCTATATTACTGAAGAGTAATTCTAACTAAGAGACATAATAATATCAAATTAAATAGCTATGCTTACTGAATAGTAAGATAAAAACCAAGTCAAATGCAAACTTTCTAGTGTAAGAGACAAACGTATAACTATATGTATTGTATAGTATAGTGATTCCCAGTGCAACTCTATTGAAGCACACAACAGTCAATGAACCAAATTGTTTATTGTGTATATGATTAAGAAAAAAAGAAAATTAAAAGACTACCAAAACATTAGCTCAAACTACATTCACTTACACCAGGTGGTTGCACAGAGCGTTGACCCCTGAAAATGACCAAAATGAAAGAGAATAGAAGCATAAAGTAAAGGTTCAAATGACATGGATGGTAAATAAAATCTGAGTATTTAACAAACATGCACAAAAGCAATATCCAAACGGTGCTAACAAGTTACTGCCATCAAATTATTTTATACCAGATATCAAACAAATTTCTGGCTATAATTGTTTCTTTTGTTTGCAAAATCACATAGCACCTTCAAGAGTTTCTTAATGCTTTCCACCTTTCACAAACATAGATAATGCGAATACTAAGGAAATCCAAACTTCTTTCACAAGAATAACAAATCATAAAACTTTGCATACCGTTTATCAAGGCACAAATGTAACAGTGTTGACAGAATACTTACTGGTTTCTTAGAAATGGAGAAAAGGGAGATGGAGACACTGGGGATTTAATAGTGAAATATAGTTATTTCTTGATCTTACACTCCATCTCAACAGTGTTACAAATATTTTAACATAGCAACAAAAGAACAGAATTATGGTTCTGAAACAAAAGATAAATGGACAGAACACATTACAAAAGTATTTCTTATAGCTTTTTAAATGTATATGTCACATTGAAATACATATTATAACAATAAGAACTTTCCTCTGACAGGCATTTTTGCACACTTTCACCACCAAATAGAACAGAAAATTCAATTCAAGCAAACTGATGAGAAAAACTTGGAGAGTATTACACATGACTTGAAATAAAAAGAGGAAAATCACAATGCATTAATTCATTACCTGAATAAGGACCAGGAGAAGCTCTAGACCTTGAGTTGATCCTAAAAATAATTGAAATAAAGTCACAGCATAGGAAAAGGACAAATTGTGTGACTTTGTGGTGAAATCATACACACATCAATCAAATTAACGAAATCTAAGAAACCACTATTTTTTCCGCACCTTGGGCGATTAAAAAAAAAATCATCCTTTTTTGGCCCAACACCTTTTATGTTCATTTACCTCCTTCAAATGCAGATATCTCAACTTGTATTGAAGATAATTGAATATTTTTTTCCATCAATAGCAGAAAAAAATTAACACGCTTTCAAGATGACAATAACTCCATTTATATATGCTCATAAACTGACAAACGCCTAATTCCACAGTGGCATGACACAATAAGTAACCAATTATAATTTTATTACATTTATAAGTATCTCCTACAACCCTCCCCCCCCCCTTCTCCCGCTTCTAAAAAAAAGAAGTAAAAAGAAGAAGAAAAACTATTATTTCGAGAATAAGCTACTCATATAAAAATGCAACAAAATGTGAAAGGAGTCAACAGGCTGTTTTTGAAAAAGAAAATCTAAAGGGAAAATAGAGAGCAAGCACAAAAGCACATCCTGACATGTGAATAATGCATCCAACAATTTGGTGTGTCAGGCCTTCGATAGTATTGAACCTGAGATCTTGATGAAAGTAAGGTCTAAGAAATGTGCACATTTTAAATTAGAAAGAGTGCTTGCTGGGCAAACTATTATGAAGTGAGTGGGGATTTCAATTTATGAGCCTGGAAATATGAGGGGTTCTGCTGAAATTATATTTTTTTAGCACCGAAAACAGGGACTTCTGCTTTCACCAACACCAGTTTTCATTGACTGTGACTAACATTCATTGTATAACACTGGTTAAGAGGACATAAAGCAAAAAAGGAGCTAAACATAAATCTGAGAAGTCAGCGACAATAAACATACTGGCACTCTGTGTTTTACTGGAAAAAACTAAAACCAATAACCAATCATACTCAAAATTCATCGAAACCTTTTCTTACATAAATACATTTTTCAAAACCAATACAAAATTGGATTTTAAAAACCCAAACCATACCAGGGATAAATAAACAAATGAAACAGCAAAGCTTCTTTAACTGTTCGAACAGGGAGGTTCTTGTCAATGAAATGATGAACTTGCAACACAAAGCATGCTTTCATATCAAAACAATTTTCAAGTACTCACCTTTGATGACCATCCTTGAATAATTAAAAACATATATTGAGATAAACAATGTATGGGTAATTTCCTTTTGTTTTAGCGATTGGAATTCTTGCGAATATAACGGCTCATTTTTCTTGCACAGACTCTACTTATGACAACCAAATCTCGTATTTATATGGAACTGAATTGTGCGGAACTGCTAGTTTTCTTTGCTCAAATACTGATGGTTTAAAAACAGGAGCATTAATTGTGGCCAATCAACAGTTTTTTGAAAAAGAAAAGATAAAAAAATAGCGTTCTTTTGGTTCACCACCGCTACCAGATTAACCTTGTTTGGACTAAGCAGACTCCACTGTACATCATCAAACCTCAGTTTTAAATCATGCCATCAAGATGACCCCGGTCTTAAAACGGGTGTTCATGAACTTTGGTCTCTTTTTTTTTTCTTTCAAAGGATCTTCCTCTCTCACTTTCAGAGATCCTGTCTCTCCAGTAATCATACAGTGTCTATCGGGACAATAAGCCTGCGTCAACTCATGATGTTGTGGTTACTGTTGCTGGTGAAAAGTCGATGTAGCTCTTATTTGTGTCAGATACTTTTCTCACTTTTTATTTCAATTTCAGATGAGTTAAATGAATGTTGGAGTAAGGATTAAAAGTCTGTACCAATATTTGCTCCTAAACATAACAATATTATCATGATGAATGGAGATACTGTTGTGTTTATCATGTCTAAGTTTGCAAATAACTCATACTGAGAAGCTAGGTGTAGAATAAAGCATTTAATTCTTACCTTTTTCGAGATTAAAGTCTTGAAATACTCATTCTCAGCTTTGACTTTTGTAAATTCTCTGAAATAACACCAAACGTTCATAGTTATGTGCAACTAACAAGAACATGAAAAGGAATTGAAAAATGTTGAAATTCTGCATCAAGATGTTCGATGCTTACACCCTGGAAGTATGATTGTCTCGCCAATACTTATTTCGTAGCTGTATTTCATTTGAGTACCGGTATGGTGATAGTTGGGAAGCAGAAAAAAGCCTCTCGCAGCCTGAGACTCTTTTTTTTTTTTTTTTGGCCCTGCCCGTTTCTATCAACTGGCGCTTTTGTGTTTAGTAGGGACAACAACGACAACAACAAATAGATGGGCAGTACTTTGGATTTTAAAATCAACTGTTAGTATTAGTGTAGACACACAAGAGGAATGTTTCATCCATCCATCCATCCATCCATCCATCCACCCGTCCGTCCGTCCATCCATCCATCCATCCATTCTGTAACCCTCTTCACTGCTAGTTACTTCAGAGACTGAAATTCTTTCACAACTTTCATTAAAGCCTACGAACTTTTCCGTCACCGTTAGGTATGCGAGGATAAGATTATTTTGTATGTTTATCTAAAGACTTTTTGTGTTTGTGTGTGTGTGTGTGTGTGTGTGTGTGTGTGTGTGTGTGTGTGTGTGTGTGCGTGCGTATGTGCGCGCGTGGCGAGTGCGTGTACTTACTTTCTCCTCTTGCAATTGCTAGACAAGGGGATATAACCTATGGAATACTGCTGCCAAATTACTTATAGTAGTTATTTCCCTTACTCCGCACATTGAGATAATTTGGAAAAATTAAAAAACGTACTCCATTCTTATGTGTGCATATTATATTATATATATCAATTTATACCTAAAAAGTCATTTTCTTTCCTTGTAGTTTTACATACTCATCAAGACATGTATAGACACAATAATGGTGGAAAATACAACATTATCTACCGTTAGGCCTACTTTAAAGTGACGATCACTTGGCTCAAGCATCTTCAAACACTCACCTTTCCACAGCTTTAGCTTGAGACAGCAACTTCTTTGCTTCTGCAATCTGCCCATCATAGAACTTCATCTGCAAAGAGATTGCTGGAGTTAAGGGAAACCTGAACCCACGTTTTAATAAAGTCATTATCAAATTACCGTTACAGATAGGATCATAATACAATATATGGTGATAAAACATTAAGAATCAGTAATAAAAGTACTCTATAACATGGAAAGTATCTTTACCAGACCTCAGCTCCTTATTAGCCGCTGTGACAATTTTAATACACTACCACCGGTCACATTGTGCTGAAATTAGAAATGCCTGTTTGAAAAGATATTTTGAACACTTTTTTTCGTTAAACATGACATTCAATTTTTCTCCTTATTTCTTAAATTTTAATTATTTATTTATATATTTTTAATTTTTATTATTATTATTTTTATTTTTTAAATTTTTTTTTGGGGGGGGCAACGTTCCAGGTATGCTTATGGACCTGCGGTTACACTTTTAATGTTGTTAACAAATAGCTAGTGGTGTTAGGGGGTACTACGATTTCACAATAGACCTATTATGTTGGAAAATGCATGAGAACAGGAAACTGGAAGTTGAACAGCTCATTTGCGAAGGAGTTGAAACGTTTAGCGTATTAAGAAATGGGATAAACGAACTGAAATAGTGACTCCAGTTAAAGCTGATTAACATAGTCTTCATTTTGGTTCGAGTGTACTGATCATAGAAACCCACAAATTCGTCTTCTCTGTTCGACTTTTTTCAAGAGGAAGATAAGAAAGCAAGGTTTTTGTGTTGCACCGAGAAAAGACAAAACCTGTAAAATGACCACAGCAAATAGATATTGATAGTAATCTAAAATTCCCGTACCTTTTCTCTCAGATGTCGCCACAGCCTTCTCTGGTGGCTCCTCTGAAAATCATTTATCTGAAATACAAAAACGAAAGGAAGGCACAGAAAGCCGTCAGAACTCAAGCATACACAATATGAAGCAGAGCCACCTTAAGCAACCATTCATACAGATCATAGCATTCAAATTGAAAAATGATCGACTCGATACAGTCCCTTTCAAGGCGGTCTTAAAAGTTTAAAAGCAGGTCTTCCCCTCTATGAATAAAATCCACATAGTTTATCACAAATAAAATGTATGAAAGAGTAAAGTAACAAGGTAACAGATTCAATAACTGTAACCTGTGTGAACTGCTTGAAAAACTTTTGAAGAGCATCCACTGGTTCTGAGAACATAGATTCTACTTCTTTCGGCATCTGAAAAAAAAAATAATTAAACAATACAGCTGATTAGAAACTACATTCATACAGGAAGACTTAATAAAATTGTAATTATGATGAAGCTTTGTTGCACTTTAGGACAATATGTAATGTAACATAATATTAAGTATGTTCAGCACTGATCAGTCAAAGTCCAACACTTAGTACTCATATCAAATCTTATGAAAATAGGCCTAAAAGAAGTTATTGTAAAATAGCTTGTGAAAAAAGATGACTGACCCTTTGAACACTGCCCTCTAAACTTGCTGGATGTGTGTACCTGAGCTCTTTTGGTTAGAGTTAGACAGATAGATACACATCATCATACGCTCAAGCATGAGTTTGGTACACAAAGGTAGTCAAACCAGGTATGCATTCGCATACACTGTGTCAATGACTAAATCCTTTAATTGCGATTGTTTAAACACCTCCATTACTTTTGTATCATTGCTTTGACCTTGTCTTTCGGAGCCAACTTTGGACTAATTTAAGAAGAATGATTAAAAGGTATTCAATGAAATGTCTTCCTGGCGCCATTTCAATGTTTCTAATGTTTTCTGTCAGAAGAAATCATATCAAATGGAAAAGTGACACTCCACTCCATTTCGAACGACCAAAATCAAATTTCGTTCAAGTGTGGAAAAAAATTCCGGAGACAAGGGGTTAATCATACAAGAACATCTCCCAGCCAATGAATAATCACACAAAACACACCCATGCAAAAGTACACCAAGACTTGCACATCATGCAAGGACATGACACAATGGAGAATTGCACACCTTTCCTGCCAGCAACAGTGTTGTGCACTGGGTCCTGCACAATTTACATCTTTCTTTTGTACCTGGAAAACAAAGTGACAAGAACTTGTAAATACGGCATCGACAAAATAAAAAAAACCCTGAAAGGCAATGATAAAATGAACCTTGCAAATAACTCGCTCAAAGGCAAAAAAGCAAAAACATCAAATTTCTACTTATGTTAAGTGGAAAGATTTTCTCAACCCTGTCAAAAAAGCAAAGTTTTGCACTTTTCGCTTTAAAGAATGCTTTCTTGAGAAACACTTCAGAAGGACAACATTAAAGACACAGATGGTTCTAACTCTTTCTCTGCCATGTACAATGTGGACTTGTGAATACATTAATGATGCTGGTCTACTTGACTTGATGGTCTAAAACGATGTTTCAGTTCTACTTGATGGTCTACCATGATTCAGACCAGACTGACAACTTGACGGTCTGTCTGCTATAATCCACAATACAACTCAACATCACCCTCTGTGCCTTTATGGAAGCTTAGGACTGTCAAAATGTTTTGGTGGATATAATTATCATTATTTGAGGGGTTGGGATGAATCTGGGGGCTGCGCCCTCTGACTTTTTGTATTGTAAGTAGTGCATCAGGGTGTGGGAGAAGGGCTCTCGTGGCCGAGAGGTTAAGGTGTTCACCTCTTATTCAATAGGTTCCGGGTTCGAATCCGGAGAGTGACGCAACATTTTCTTCTCTAAAAGTTTCTCCTTTCACACCCTTTCCTGCTTTCTAACAATGTTCTGTCATCTGCTTTCTTCTCTATTTTCTGCCCCAACCCCCTCACCTTCTATGCCCCCTCCTCTGGGCTCCGAGTCCCGACTCTCTCTGCAGCCTTTCTACTGCTACTCCTTGGCTCCTTACTGCTGTCTTTCAGCCGCACCCCTGATCTTATGGTAGGAAAGGCCTATACCCAGCCTTCAAGGACAAGGCGAAAGATTTTGGTGGTCGAAAATCGATAAGAGTAGGCTTCGGCCGCCATCCGGGCAAAATTCAAAATGTTCTTTTCAACTAAAAATGTCTAATGTGTCCCACGTGCTCATATACTTGATTACTTGATCCTGGGAACAACATCATAGAACTCTGGGCATTGCAATACGTGCTCCGCTCCCCGCTCCAATATCCACCTCAGAGTCCATCTGCAGATCGTTCCGGTGTTTATTTGGTTAATAACCGTCTTTCCAACCCCTACCATGTTGTTTCTGCCACTTGCTCTGAAGACACCCAGTTCTTCAAGTCGTAAGATAAGCGCATTGTCATGCTAATTCACCTCATCTTCAAGTGTGGTGGCAAGGGCCTTCACGACATCATTTTTGTCCATTTTAATGTCAGTATTGACAGGTGCATGGCTCGCGAGTTTGTCTGCTTGTTCATTTCCCACCACACTCGTATGGCTTGGAGCATAGATCCACGTTATTTTTCTCAGTCTGGTTTCTTCTATGGTTTGCAGCCACTCTTTTCTCAGCATTCACTTATTGACTCTCTGCAATATGTTTTGAGAGTCAGTGCAGTGACAATGACATCATGTTTGGGAGCTCTCTTTTAGCCATTCAAATGCTTTTGTCACTGCCTCTACCTCCATTCTTGTGCTTGAAGTCGTCTTGCTGCATGCACCAGATGCTTTTTTAAAATTATGTGGTCATTTTCAAGTACAACAAAGCCCCAACCATTTTCACCCCACGTTTCACAGGGCCATCAGTGTATATTACTGGATCCAGGGGCCAGGAGTTTTCCTCGACAATCTGTCTTACTTCCAACTCTGGTGTTCCTGCCACCTCCAGTACATCTCCCTTCTTTACACCAATGATGACTCTTGTCAAATCGTGAGCAGCCTCTTGTGACACTTGAATCCACTCACTGCCATCGATCATACCAAGTAACTCACACACCTTCTTTATACTCTTCGGCCTGTGCCATCCAATATTGACCTCTCTTTAGTCCGGTCCCTCTGTCCTGCATGGTCACTGGGTGAAGTGGGTGGCCTTCCATTTTCATAACTTTGAACAGGTACATAATCTTAGCCTGAGCCAATTTGTGTCTTACTCGTAGTGGAGAGTCCAAGTATGTGTCTTATACAAACAATTGGAGTGTCTCTGGTGCAACCAAGGACACGCATTGCACGAGCCCATATGACCTTATGCAGTTGCGAGCGCCGTAAAACACTTACCCAAAAAAAATGGCGTGGGAGTAATGGTACAAAAATGCATATGTAATAAATTTATCCTGTGCAGGCTGTCTTGAAGAATGCATTATTGCGGTAGATCGTTGTTAGTACTTAAGGCATTAAACAGCAAACAGTACAGTAAATAGCATTATCATTGTAAACCATCATAGCAAGTCAACCGGCACCACATAACCTTTGCACTTCAGAATCATCAAATTGATCATCCCTTTTTTAAACTGTTATAGTCTGCGTACATTCTGTGAGCTCATATAACAAGTGTTCGAAAAAGTCCTACACAATAATTCTGAAATCTGCTACAAAGAGGAGGTTAGACTGTGGCATACAAAATACAGGAACACTAGTGTTTGATCAAAACGACGGCATCTGCATATCTGATATGTCAAAGATTAGTGCAAAATGAGTAAAGCGAAACAATCAATCTTTCCCCCGTTTTTCTTTGGCGTAAAATGAGAGCCAGCTGTGCACATTAAAATTTTCATGCAAAATTATCTAACAATGCTGAAAATGCATTATACGTCAATAAACGTTTTTTTTTAAAGAGCTTCACCAAAATTACATTGTTAGAGGGTCTCCACTCACGACAGTAGCTTAAACCTGTAGGACCTCCTAAAGTAAAAGATGCAACTCAACAGTATATTATTATTTAATAGTTTTACTTCTGAAACTGATAGGGGCCTGCTAATAATAACAAACAGAATTGCCAAAAAATATCATTTATACAGGAAAAAAACAAAACATTTATGTTCAAAACTTTCTATGACTCAACCCAAAAAATACAATACAAACAGATCCTTATCTTGAACTTAACACCTCAGATATGTTTTGCGTTTTCCCTCAAGTCAGCATTCACAGACGTAACAGTGGGGGTAGCCTTGCCTTCAAAGCTCTCTACCAACTTTGTTTTGGTTCAATCAGCGATGGACATCAAAATCAGAGATCCCACCTCTTAAATGACCAACAGTACATAGTACTCCTGGGGGGGGGGGATAACTATACTATACTATAGGACAGGAAAGGCAAAACAATCAGCTCCTTACAGGCATTGACACACTTTTCACAGTATATATGACTGCAGTTTGTCAGGTAGAACCTAACTCCTCCTTTATCTGGTTGGCAGAAGCAAGAGTTGCAATGAAGCCATTGTTGGGCCATACTTGAAATCGGACTCGGCAAAGAAGGTTGACTGATGTCAAGCACCACCTAAACAAAAAAGTCAGAGTAACATGCAATTTTAACTAAAATTTACCTCCCTCCCCCAGCTTTTTCCTTCATTCTGCAGCTGTCAAAAAGTATTGAGCCAAGTAACAGCACAAAAAAGTTAACAACAGACTTTTGAAAGGAGCAGTGTAACCAGTACTACACGTATAAATATATGGGTTCAAAGTGGACACCATTGGAATGAAATAAGCTAGTATGAGTTTGCTTAGAGAGAAGAAGGCCAAGAAGGCTCTCTTGGCCTAGAGATTAAGGTGTTCGCTTTCATTCAATAGGTCCCGGGTTCGAATCCGGATAGCGACGGACAATTTTCTTGTCTATAATTTTCTCCTTTCACAGCCCTTCTGCTCTATAACAATTCCCTATCGAGTGCTTTCTTCTAAACTTCCTCATTTTCTGCCCCCACCCCCCTCACCTCCTTTCCCCCCTTCTCTGGGCTCCTGACGCTTTCTGCAGCCTTTCTACTTCTTCTCCTTGGCTTCTTCTTACTGCTGTCTTTCAGCCACACCCCTGACCTTATGGTAGGAAAGATCTACAACTAGCGTTCTTGGACAAGGGCGAAAAATCTCAGAGGCCCCGTGTACAAGTTGTGCACGTTAAAGATCTTTTAGACTTAGTGGTCCAAAATCGATAAGAGTAGGCTTCGGCCGCCATCCGGGCAAAATTAAAAATTTCCTACCAACTGAAAATGCATGGAGTGTCCCACGCGCTCAGATGACCTAATGCCGTTGCGAGCACCGTAAAACACTTATTACACCACCTCCCCCCTCCCCAAAAAAAAAGAATGCCAAGATTCACCTGGGATTACAATCTGCAGGCACACCACAGACATTGCGACAAAAGGGACACTACCTGTTGGCTGGAAGTAGAGAAGATCGCCCAGAACAGAGGCAGGGGCCAGTAGAGAGAAATGGGTTTGTATGGGTTAAATGAAAAGTAACACATAAATTGACTTGAGTGAACGTATAGACTCTAATTATAGAACTACTAAATTATCAATATCTATTATTATAATCATACAAATACATTACAATTTAATTGTTGCACACAGTCCTCATATCATGTTCCAGTCCAGTCCACACTGAGAACCAGCTCATCTACTTTACAGGAACTACCCATACTCCAGATCATAATATACTGGATCTGGTAGGACATGTTATTGCCATTGCAAAGGCATCGGTGATGAAAAGCCCTCTTGGAACATTTCCATGAATCATACTATCAACAATTCATATATATATATATGGGTGGCAGACTACGGACTCATGACTAGATATCTAGATTTAGAGTCTAGATCTAGATTCTAGATCTAGCCTACCTCGTGCATGATAATAATGGAGGAAACTAGTCTAGCCGTATCTAGGCCAGTGACGGCAAGACTGGTAAACAGCTAAGCATTAATTTATATTTGTTGAGAAGAAAACAAAAGGTGCCTTACTAACATGCAGGTATGCCTAGATCTAGATTCTACATGTATTTTGCACCTGTATAATTACTAGCTCCCCTGCTGGTGGGGGGGCCCGTAGTTTTACTATGGGGGAGCAAAGAATACACCTGCCGTGATACTGCGTGTTGTAAGAGACGACTAAAAGTGCATAGGTCTGGTCGCCCGAAAAGTACCAGTTCGCGGAGGGCCAACTACCCAACCCAGTAAAAAACAATAAGTTACAGAAACACGGACAAAAACAGCTTTTTATTTTTCGATCTTGGGAGACAGAGGAACTTCTGCATCAGCAGGAACAATGAAGGACAGCGGATAAAGACGAAAGGACTCTTCTGACCCGAAACCTTCTCTGTCGAACAAGTCTCTCCGGATTGCGTCGTGGAATGTTCGCACCTTGTAACTTGTATGAAGCAGGAAAGAGTTCTCAAGTAGTACAAGAGAGGAAGAGATACAGGCTGCACATACTAGGAGTCAGCGAAACACACTGGATACAGTCTGGACAGAAGCAGCTCAGCTCGGGGGAACAAGTATAGTATTCTGGGAGGGAAGACAAGTACCATGCGGAAGGAGTGGGAATCATTTTGAGTAAGTATGCACAGAAGTCACTTAGAGGAAGGGAACCACACGGGGAAAGGATCATCATGGCTTCATTCACTACAAGGAGCAAGAGCATCAACATGTCATGAATATATTCCAAATCTACACCTCAACAAATGATGCTTTGGATGAAGACAAGGATGCCTTTTACAGCCAGCTCCAGGGGGTCATTGACAAACTACCAAGGAAGAATGTCAACATCATAATGGAAGATGCCAATGCCAAGATTGGTCAGGACAACGTGGGATATGAAAGAATTATGGGACAACATGGCTTGGGACAAATGAATGAGAACGATGAGCGTTTCGCAAATATATGTGCTTTCAACAGTTTTGTTATTGGAGGCTCTGTTTTTCCCCACAAGGGAATCCACAAGGCCACATGGGTTTCGCCAGATGGAGTGACGGAGAACCAGATAGATCATTTTTGTATCTCTCGTAAGTGCAGGCGTTCACTGGAAGATGTCAAAGTACAGATAGGGGCCGATGTTGGATCGGATCATAATCTGCTGTTGGCAAAACTCAAGCTTCGACTAAAAAAGCACGGAACCAGCACAGCAATCAAAAGAACCAAGTTTCAAGTAAGTCTCTTGGATGGACACAAGAAAGAAAAGTTTCAGCTGCAGCTGAGGAACAGATTTCAAACTCTGGCTGATCTTGGCGGAGAGGACACGGAGGTGGATACACACTGGACCAAGGTCAAAGAAGTCTTTACATCAACATGTCAAGAAGTACTCGGTGTGAAGAAATGGGAGCACAAGGAAAGGATTAGCCAACACTCATTGGATTTAATTAGGACAAGAAGACAGCTGAAGGCAGAAGCGAAACTAGCCTAGAGTACTAAATCTAGCAGTCAAGCTAATCTAGATCTAGATAATCTAGATCTAGATTATATAGATCTAGAAGAGAAATCTTGATCTAGATTAGATCTAATGAGACCCGTGTACTCAACAGGTTTCGGTCAATAGGGTCTCAGTCTAACTCTACTAGATATATCTAGAACTAATAGATTTAAGTACGGCTAGCCGGCTAAACTGCTAGGCTATAGTCTAGACCAAGAGTCAATTAATTTCTTGTCAAATTTGGTGGAAATAGACTACTGGCAGTTAATAAATTTAGATCTAGATTCTACATCTTATTATAACTATAGACTATAGATCTACCATTTCAAAAAAGCTCCACAATGATTTGTTTTTAACGAGCTGGTTGGATCCTCGATGACTCCACTTTCTAGGATGCCAATTATTTTCGTCTGCTAGAATCTTGGAAATCTAAAAGGGACTCAAAGAAACGAACTTACTTTACTTCTCCGAAGAGCCAGCCAGGATATTTAAATGGTTGTAACCATATTCTATTTTATTAGTTTAACAGTGTTTGAAGTATTTGCAGTGTCTAAGCTATGGATCTAGTTTCATAATCAAAGGAAAGAATAGAACAAGAGTGATTTCGTAAGATTCAGTTTTCTTTACGATATTATCTAATTTAAAGCCTTCCTAAATATTACAAAGGTACTCAATCTCTTACGAAAAACGCGAATTGTATTTCCAATAGTATAAATCGTCCTACATGCAGAGCATCTTTGTTGTTAAAGTTATCTTTTAATTTTTTGTCAGGTTCTACGGATTATCGGATACACGTTTATTTCACAGATTTAAATTAATTCTGATGTGTATATTTTTGCTTTGAGAAAATTGCGTTTACGTATTAGACCTAGAATCTAGATCTAGATTCTAGATCTAGATCTAGATCTAGATCTAGATTGACAAAATGTTTTTGAAAGATGCCAAAACGACAGATCGATAGAGGTGGTTGAAAACAAAAACATGAGGCAAACTGGCATTATAGAAAATCCAAAATGTAGACTCTCTTGTGTGTTCAAAACGTTTACACGAAACAAAGGACTATCATATCTTTAGAATTGAGTAATTTTACTCTTAAGGAGATAATATTCACAAAATTTGAAAATTTTATTATTAAAAAACTAGGTTTGAATTTTTAATTTAAAAAAGTGAAATACAGAAGAGTAATTTAATAGTTTGTTTTGTTGACAGGTAGGTCTAGATCTATACCTAAATGTTGGCCCTGACAACGTAGTGTAAGAAACAAAATGGAGGACACCCACAGTGTTGACACCGATACCACTGGAGGTGATGATCCTTTGCAGGATCTCACCGATGAACAGCTTTATCAGTTGGTAGAAGAAACATTGTGAGTAATTGTACTCCTTTTGGGCATTGAAAACATGTATGCTACTAGATCTAGATCTAGATCTAATATGAGAAAATACTTCACAGACTTTAACCCGTCCAATTATTTACAACAATGCAAAACCAAAACTAAAACAATTTATTTATATTCCATTGTTTAAAAAAGGATTTGTCACAAAACAGCAAGCCAGCCTTGTGTACTCAAATCATATTTTGACCACAAAGCTCTCAGGTATGAATTGAGGGTCACGAGCCTTGTATCAGTTTAACAAATCCTTGTAATCGATGAAATAGTCTAGTTCAATTGTCCATTTACTATTGATAATTGAGTAAAGTTTACTGTAAATCTATTATAAGTAGGCTACTGTACTTTAACCAGCATATTGTATGAATTGTGAATGATATTAACCCTCGTCCTGCGGGGCCGGGTTTTTGTCGCCCAATAAGTGTATTTGGGAACCTCGCCTCGTTCTCGCCCCGCATCAGTCTAGCCCCTGGCTCAGCGCACGCGCGCCGAGCATCTCCCCTTGAATTTGGGTCCCGATTCGGATTCGCATTCACATAGCTCAAGTGTGTTTGCATCAGTCTGCTTGAGTTTGTGTGCGTTTGTGGCCTTCTTCTTGAACCGCCTACGTTGGTTCGTAACAGAGGCATATACGTCTCATTCAACACACGCCAAGTTGGTAGCTCTAGATCTAGATGTTTGTCCAATGAAATTTTATAGAGCAAATTGACCCACTTAGACATGATGAACTCGAAAGAATAGTCAGGAAACAAGACTTCCATTTTTCTATACAAAATCTTTCGAATGAGCATGATTTTGTATGTTTGTATGAAATGATACTACCTGATAAAAAATAAGCTTAAATTATTTGATAATTTTAAGTACCATTGTGCAGGTACAAAGAACAATTTGAGTGCAAAACATTCGGAAATTGACCTATATTATCCCCTTTCGAACCCCAGGTCATTCATAACAACAAGAGCGTCTAGAAATGTTATTCGAATGGGTGTAACTTCTCGTAATATCTTATCAGGTTATCTCTTTGGCTACCAAGGTATTTTCCATGCTGTGACCAAGGCATTTCTTAGTCTTAGAATTTCAGAAGTACCCCTGTTCTACTTTTGTGCCTGATGGGCATAATTCCATCTGGACATGTTAAATAATAAAATGAAGGTAATTGAATGTAGAATATTTTTAATCTAATAAAAAAATTGAAAAAAATCATAAATCCAAACAAACACGGGAGGTAAGTGAACACAAGGTGAAAAAAATAAAAGAATAAACAAAACATTTTCAACTTACATTTCTCACAGTGTATAGCTGCTAAATCCAATCACTTTATGACTTACTCATACTGAAGTATATCCAATTGTCTCTAACTGGGCCAAGTTTCATGCACAATGGTCAAGTATATATACAAAGTTGTCGCATTTTTGGTGAAATCACTCACAATGAAAAAAAGAGAAAAAAACACTGCACACACGCCCCTCTCTGCGAATTTTCATTCTCATCGCTGTCGCTGCTGTTCGACTCAGGTCTAACTTCATCACCTCCTACATCACTATCGGAAAGTACTGACAGTTCCTCTTCATCATCAACTAACCACGTTTCAAACTTTTCCAGGGCTTTTGAAGCAGGAAAACGTTGTGACAGGCGGGAACCTGATGGTTCATCAGCCATTTTGCCGTTGCTATGCGTAAACTAATTCGAGCAACATAGGGCGGGTAAAAAAAAAAGAAGAAATGTCAAAAAAACAGCAGAATAAAACACAAAAGGCGCCAAATTCCTTCACTGGTTGACTGATGTATGGTAAGCAGAGCAGTTAAAAACATGAAACGGAAAGGTTGAGTCAAATTGTGGAAGGGAAAGGGAAAGAAATTTTCTTGGCCACGAACTAGGAAGTTATGGAGCCGATAGATCGGCTCATGGTAGTCAAAGAGTTATGAGAGGGGGTTATTATGTGTTTGTAACACTTTATAATTTATAGAAAGCTATGAAAGATAGAGCGTCATTTTCATCGTCAATTAACACACTCCCACGGTATTCATGGCGAAAACATACGTTTCTCGGCGCTCGCTGTACACCAACAGTAGGCCTACACACTGAGTGACCCCGGCAGCCTGCCCAGAACGTCCGACGTAAAATCGGTTGCTGATAAGATTCGCATCTCAGCACATACGCAGGACAAGAGTTAATATCATCATGTACTATGCTCCATACCATATGTTTTCCCTTTTATTTAGAGAAGTGCATGCATGAGGGTGAGAATGTAAGTATTTAGATGTCTAAGCCCAGTCAAACTTCTCATCTTTATCATCGTCAGATTGTACGTGTGTCTTTAGTAGCAATGCCAATGAAAATTTATTTTTTGGTTTAACCCTTTTCACTTGGTACATAAGAAAGGGTATTTTATTCTAAGCCTTTTACTTTTTTATTTTAACCCATTGCACCTGAGTTACGAGTATTTGTAGCTGCCGCATGCTTTCGTCCCCCGAGCTACGAGAATAGTCGTAGGAAAATACTTGTCCTCAAAATCGAGTCCGAATCTTTTATCCAGGTTTCTATTAGAAATATAGGTAGCTTGTAGCTTATTAAAAATTTGCAGGCTTGTTTTGATCCAGGTTTTCGCCACGTACGAGTTAGTTTTGTTGTGTTTTTCACAGCAAAGCATGGCAAGAAAGCGAGCACTGAAATGTTCATGGGCAACAACAAAAAAACTGGCCCCCCCCCCCAAAAAAAAAGTGTTACGGCTATCTTTGTGTTTGTTAAGATACATAGATACATGAACCATGTTTTTAGTTTTGTTTTAGGTATAAGCTACAAGGAAAGTGAAAGTAGACATAAATCTAGAAAAAACTTAAGGCGATCGGATTTATTTTAATGCCTTGAAAACTTCGAAGAAAAGCTAGATATAGACCATAGATTTACTATAAGTTGCTACGGGTAAATCGAGTGCTTATGAGTCGCAGTGTGACGAAGAATATTATATTGTTTTCTCTGCTCTTTCCTTCATCTTTCTCTCTAATAATATTAAAAGAACATTTTAAGTAAAATCTACCCGAAATTTCATATTATTACCCTAAATAGTTTGGGCACAAGGCGTGTCTAAGTTTAGTGTGTGAAGTTCAGACTGAATTTTTCCCCCAGCTCGCGGCAAGCCAGGTGGACACAAGTTCACTGCCGCAGCAACGCAGGGTGATGGGTTAATAAATCAGTTCATGAATAAAAAAATTATGGGGCTGAGTGCCGCAAAACATGGATGACTCGCGTACACGAAAATACTTTAAAAAAGCGGACCACATAACAACAGACTTTGTGAGAAAGTTGATGACTTTTCAGTTATTAATTGGAGTGTTTGAAAGAAACTGTGGTAATCAATGTGTTTTAGGTCGAGAAATGATTTCTGCTATTCTGCAATCAGATTTACTAAGAATTTTATAATTGTACGTAGTAATTTTGTTATAATGAAAATTTTCAGGTAGGCCTACAAATTATGATTGTGAGAAAGAGTGATGTTGTGATGAGAGCTTTTTATAATGTTGTATCATATCATGGGACCTTTAAGAATTATGTTGGCAGTGTGACTAAATAATGGTAAAACTTTTTTTGATGACTTTAAACCATGCCAACCATAAAATATAATTTAATTCAGTCTAACATGCTGTACAATTTGAAAGCTTTCTTTTTTCTTCAGTTGAGACATGAACACCCCCATTACAATGTTACAGGGGAACAAAGCGACAAATAACTGGTGCTAACTCCAGCGATATTGCCCTATTTCAAGTGACCAATGAATGGGCCCGGAATAATCATGTGGGGATTTGTAGGTCACATACATATGCCGAGGAGTGCAGGGAAATTGGTCAGTCTCCGTGTGAAGCCGCTTTGGACAGGGGGGGTAGTGGTACATTTATGATAAATTCTAAACAACTACTTGTCTTAGAACTTTCAAATTTGAGGACACTAGAGGAAGATAGATCTCGATTCCTTCTTGATGTTGAAAATTAAACTCCTTCTAGTTCAAGGAATATCTAATACGATAGTAAGTGTTTCCAACACCAAAAATATAAATTAATTTATGTGTACAAACTGGAAATAATTTTCAAAAAAAATTTTTCTTTGCCTTTGTATTAGTATTAGAAGTGTGCGTTCTAGTAGAGCAAAAAAAAATCCCAAAACAACACCAATACAAAACAATGTAAAGTAGAACCTGCTCTAGTGGGCAAGACCTGTTCAAACAACCACTTCCCATTTCCTCCCTTGCATAATTTTTACTTTAAACCGATACTGTGTAAGATGGTCACCTGTCTAATACAGTCTCCTTTTTCCTTGACAATGGATGATCATTTTAGACTGTACTTTTAGAAAAATGTTTTTTTTTTGCAAACTGTTGTGGAGGCAGCCAGCTGTATACGGCAAGCAAGGTTGCATTGAGTTAATGTTACATACGCTGAAATTGATTTCATATTAGATATACATAGTGCAATTTGTTTTTTGTAAACATTCTTTTCAACTTCACTGGCCTTCATAGTTTTGAATCTTATGTGGGCCCGGATGACACCTTTTAATGTTGTGAGTTGCAGCGATTTGAGGACAACCATACAATTTTACTTTCTTGTTTCAGACGTGCCAATGAAGTCCTTGCGGCTGAAACTCAGATGTTTGAGAAATTTCTCAATCGCGTGGAGCCACGTGATACAGCAGGGGGCCTTGGTTCCCATGTCTCCACGCCAGGAGCTGGAATGCGTGAAGATAGAGGCACCAACCGCAAAAGATCAAAGTCTCGCTCTAGTAACTTAGACAGATCTCTCAAACTGACTGCGGAGCAAAAATGTGATATTGCTCAAAGAGAAATTGAGGAACTCCGAGAAGATATTGAAAAAGACAAGGAGGAGTCAGAAAAAACTCTGGATCATTTCAAGGTGACTGAATTATTTTTTCTTTGTTTTATCAAGAGTTTAACCAGCAAAGCAATAGCCTAATGTGTCAGCTCTTACATTCAAAGGCCTTAATTAGATTTGAATCCTTTTTAAGGTCCTGAAGGCTGTAACAGAAAGCTTTCCTCTAAAATGAGCATTCATACAGGTTGAAATATTGTAAGAATTGACAATATCCTATTGGACAAACTTTGAGAAATTCAGTTTTATGGTTCACCTTTAAAAAAGTGAAGTAAAAGTTATGTGGTTGGCTTTACAGAGATAAATTCTGAATTTCTTCTTTATCACAACATTACTTCATCATTTTCTCCATGAAGTTATAAATCCCATCAACATCAATTAACATCATCATCTTCATCATTAAAATCATCATCATAGTCTCAGTCCATCCATGGGAAACGTTGTTCCAAAGATGTGTTTAAATAAATATTCAATTGATGAGTTTCTTTTTTTTTTAAACTAGATATTTTCTTTCTCTGGATAACTGTTGTTGAAAGTGACTTAGTTTGTCAAAAAGCTCCCAATTTATGTTTTTTTAAACTGTTTTTCATCCGAGCAGGCCATAATGGAAGAAACTGATATGCGTCTGTCGGAGATGAAGAAAGAATCATATGAATTTGAAAGGGATATTCTGAAGGGATCCGTGAACCATCGAACAAACAAAGTGATTGCAGAAAAATGCTTGAGATACTTTGATGACAAGCTCAAAGCGAGAGTAAGTCTTGTAATGAAGGGGTGGTTTTTTTCGTATTGTTTTGCCTTTTTTGTTTTTACTTTTTCATTTTCAAGGATTTTTAATGTGTTTCGTTAACTTTCTTGCTTGTTTGATTTATTTGATTTTAGTAAGTTATAAAATGAAACCCATTTTGAAAAAAAAAAAGTTGAAATTTTGGTTTCAAAATGTGGGGTTTTATTTTTACTGCTGTTGTAATGTTAGCCTATGCGTATTATTCATACTGGCAAAGGATATTTAAATGGACCAGAATTAGTCTAAAAAGAAGTGTTTTTTCCCACAGAATTATCAAGTACTAGCTGGGCCCCCTTTCGATGAAAGGAATGATCGGTGCATTAACATCAATTGAACATTGTATATTTACACTCTACTGGAATGGAGCAATAAATCTTGAGAGAAAAGTGACAAATGTGTTTCCAAGTGGCCAAATATATAATAGATGCATAGATTGATTCTGTATTCCGCTTTCGTGGTTGTACAGAAGCATGTTGATTGTTTCCAGTAGCAAGAAAAAGAATTTGACAAAAGAGTCCAGAAAAAAAAGCTATGATGGGCATCAAACGAAAGGATCACAATCGAATTTAGCACCAAGTAAAAAAAGAAAACATGAGGCTATATCTATACGGGCCGCACACTTAAAATAATGCTTAGTATTGCTCGACAATGCACGATAGTATCAAACGGAAGAACGACTTGAATATAAACAAACCTGGCAGATTTTCTAAAATTACGGAGATAGAAGCGTCTGCCTACAGAAGCGATCAGCGAAATAAAGAAATTTAGCTTTTGCAGCAAAACTGTCTCAAAACTGGAAAAACGAAGGGCGTCATGATCTGCAGAATATTTTAAAGTATCTTTTGGTGAAAACCGCATGTCGATCGATGAAGCCATTAAAAAGCCTTTTGAATAGCAAAATTCGGCCACCTCAAATAGGTAATAGATAAACAGTTAAGATGTTGTTGTTACTTATGTTATCTTTTCATGTGTAAATGACAGCAGAAATCACGTAAACTTTTATGCCTTCTTGCAATTGAAGAACATTTTGAAGGAGCGTTTTAGAAAAACTACTGACATGAACACTGTTATCCTACAGGATACTTTGATCGAAAAGCTTCGTCTGAAGAATTCAACTCTGAAAGTTCAGAAGAAGAAGCTTATGCTGCAATTAAAGCAGGTGAGTGAATGATAGACTTTCTGATGTTCTATAATTATCAGTGTGATAGAAGAAATTTTATAAATGCTACACAAAGACATTAGAATTTCATATTAATTAATTATTCTATGCCGTTTGTCCGTCCAAAGTATAAAAGTCTGAAACACATGACTGACTGTGATAGAAAATGTGTAACGACGCGGTGGAATGTTGGGGCATAGGGGCCTATGGAGTTATTGGTATCATTTTAAAGCCTGTCCATTTGCCTTGCTTTTGATTTAACAGATATCCATCTATCTTTTGTACAAGTCAAGATATTGATGATTGAAGGAGGTGGGGGTGGCCTAGTTTGAGAGGTAAAATTAAGGAGAAAAAGGCCCACCAATGTTGCGTTATTTCCTTAGCTTGAGAGTCCCTGGAAACTAAAAAATTACTTATTTTATGCCTTTAATCAACGTTTTTCAGTAAAATCCGTAGAGAAATGTGTTCCTTAAGGAGCATGAAAGGTGTTGAGCTAAAAAACAAAAATTTGATAAGAATTCCAAAACCTGTGGAAAAGTGATAGTTTCTTCACTTTAATTATTTTGATGAGTGCCTGATTTCATGACGCTGCCTTACAAATGTTATATTTGCTGAGCTTATGGAATATAAAACATCTTGTAGAGAATACAGAACATACTGGTTCCAAACGAGAGTTGTTTCTTTTTCTTTACTGCTATACTGGATGTGTCCTAGACTAGGACGATAAAAATGTCGAAAACTGAATTATGGTAGTGCGACGGTATACAATGGAATGCTTAAATGAAGGGCATATTAAAAAAGCACACTTTGCTTAAATGCACACTTTGTTATAAAACTAGAATGTTTGCCACACTTTGTGTTATAATACACCGCAGGGCTAGCCTTTAACGGTAGCTCATTACATAGATCTATGTTTATGACTGTTCATATTTTTAAAATTTTTATAGTAGAGTTTTACGGCGCTCGCAACTGCATAGGTCATATGAGCGCGCGGGACACACCTAATATTTTCAGTTGGTAGGAAATTTTGAATTTTGCCCGGGTGGCGGCCGAAGCCTACTCTTATCGATTTTAGACCACCAAGGGATCTTTAACGTGCGCAACTTGCACACGGGCCCTCCGAGATTTTTCGCCCTTGTCCGAGAAGGCTAGGTGTAGATCTTTCCTACCAGAAGATCAGGGGTGTGGCTGAAAGACTGCAGTAAGAAGAAGCGAAGGAGTAGCAGTAAAAAGGCTGCAGAAAGAATCAGGAGCCCAGAGGAAGGGGCAAAGGAGGTGACGGAGTGAGGGCAGAAAGTGGAGACGAAAGAAAGCAGTCGACAGAACATTGCTAGAGAGCAGGAAATGAGGTGAAAGGAGACAAATTTAGAGAAGAAAATTTTTCGGTCGCTACCCGGATTCGAACCCGGGACCTTTTGAGTGAGAGGCCAACACCTTAACCTCTAGGCCACGAGAGCCCCTGTTCAGTAGCCAGGTTAAAATGTATGACAGCACCTTTGCTGATGGTCTACACCTAGCATGCTTAAACTTCTTCCCACATCCCCACACTCACACTTGACTCACACACAAAAAAAACTCCCTGCTACACATGCACATTGCATGTACTGACCTCTCATCTAACCTCTCCTGACTCTCACACATGGTCAGATGCATGTATTATGTTCATGTCCTCAATACGTGTGTTGGTGTGAAAGAAGGGTTCTGATTGAGTGTATTAGATGGCTGTGTGTTTCCGATAGGTCAATCGTACTGTACAGTTTATGAAACGCTATAAAGGTTTAATGATCCATGGTACAGGGTGACCGATGTTCCCTTGGAATAGAGACGACAGGTTCATTGTGGGAGGAAAATGTTCAACTGTTCATTATACAAGTGACTTCACTGAGTTAACTGGTTTGAGTGTTAGTTCAATGCAATGTATTTTGTTGACTTTATTAAATTTGAAAAATGGGAGTCCTTTTTCTCTTGTTGAGTCTGTGTTTGTGATATCCAAGTTTCATTGTAACTTGTGGTAATTTAGCAACAGAGCTAGAAAATTGTACAATGTTTTGTCACTACAAAATAAAGCATAGATGATACAGATCCGAATGGTTCTAGACGCTGTTAACTAAATTTCCTATTGGTCCCGCATTTTTCTTTTGCAGAAAGAGGAAATGGGTGAAGTGCTCCATGAAGTGGACTTCAATCAGTTGAAGATTGAGAACCAGCAGTATTTAGAGAAGATCGATGAACGCAACCAAGATTTGCTGAGACTCAAGTTTATGTCTACCAACACTCTACAAGTGCAGAACTCATACAAGGTAGTGGGTTCATACATGATTGTCATACTCTCTGTGTTTTCTTCTTTTTTGTTGTTCGTCTTTTCCAGCTCTCCGATTAAGAATATTTTGTACTTTCATATCTCAGGATTTGCCAGATCAACGCCCAAGTATGTATTTTTCTCTGTTTTGCTGTTATGTTACTCCTGAAAAAACACAAGATGTACAAGAGGGTGCGTTAAGGCTATTTTTTTTCCTTATTCACTGCCAGCAAGATTTCTGGCTTTTATTGACCTAATTAGCCGCATGAAACATCATCGCAAGATGCAAAATTCATACCAATACTGCGAAAATTGTAGTGATAAATATGTCTACTTCTTCTATTTTCATTTTGTGTGATTACTTTTTAAGGTTCTTCTTTTTTATGTGACTATTTAATGTTTTAAAAGTTAATATACTGAGCAATTAGAGTGCTTTCTATTGTCAAAATTCTACTTTGTCTGTATTCAAGCTTCTCATGCCTTCTCTTCCATTTTACTTTGAGTATAGTAATTTAGTGATGTATGGTTTGTTCATCAGAAAAAGCTCTCCACTATGACAAGGGAGTCAGAACGTCTGCAGAGTGAGATCTCCCTTCGAGAAGATTTACAGACCCGTATCAAGGCAGAAACGCAAGTAGTGGAAGTGGTAAGTGTTATTTGTGTCACGGCGCGGTGGAATCAGGCGACGCTCGTCAATTTTTATGCATATCGAGTCATTGGTATCATCTGAAAGTTGATTTATTTGCTGCGTTTCTTTCAATGATCCATTTATCTTGAATAGAACTCGAGATATTTTCGATTGAAGGAAGTGAGGTCACCTGGTTTCAGTGGAGAAATTAGCGAGTAAATGGCCGCCAAAGTTTGATAACTCCAATAGCTAAAGAGTCTTCGTAAACAGAAAAATTACAAATTTTGTGCCTTTAATCAATGTTTTACAATAAAATTTACTTGAAAATGTGTTTTTATATGGACATAAAAGAGGTTGAGCCAAAAATAAAAATTCGATAACAATTTCCAGACTGGTGGAAAAATGCCTGTTTCTTAGATTTCTGTATTTTGACAAGAGCCTGGTTTCACCATGCTGCCTCACCTTTGTATCTATTTCGGGGTGCAAAAGTTATTATTCTATTTTTATTAGTGTAAAAAGATTTCTAACCATTATCTTTTTCTAATTCAGTGGTCTTATTATAATCAAAGTAAAGAAAAAAGTGAGGAAATGGGAAGAATGAATAAAGAGGTTGTTTGTACGACTTGTGTCTATTGTGTACAGTTAATGTTAGTGTGGCAATGTCTATACTGAAACTTTACAGTCCTTCTTGGGAGCAATAAAAAAATATCAGAATAGGATAAGTCTAACACCTAGTTTTCTTTAACAAATCACACTTAATATTATGCTTTGAATAATCTCACTAGCTGGCTGCAAAGCTGTGGAATGAAAAGTGGCGATATTGCAAACACAAACCATTGTATAATATGAACTTCATTTACTTATTCTTCCATACTTTACATTACCTTAGCTGTGTCCTGAGCTTTAAAAAGAACTTCGGATCCAGGACTGATGGTTGAAGAGAAAAAATTATCCACTAGCTCTTAGTTTTGTGCTGCTGTTTATGTGGCGGGGTGCTAATGATGGCTTTGCCAGTACTGGATGTGCTGGTGTCAAATTGACATCTGAATTCCTTATGTTTTGGAAACTTTTAACTCAATGAAGATACGCATTTTGGTCATTTGACAGTGCTTGAAGATGCACTGTTTTGGACATATAAATATTCAAACAGGTTACTTTTTTTTAAAAATCTGAAATTTTGAAAGGAATGCAACAATAACATGCATGTTATGAAATATGCAAACTCGTGTTTGTGTTTTGTGTATGGTTTTTTAAAATATGCCGCAACATGGCCTTTGGCCTGCTGGTCATCTGATGTAATATGATATGTCTACTACATCCTGAAAGAGTTATAACCATGACTCTTGGTAAGATTGTGTTCATAGGTGAATCAGATCTTAATGTATTCCAAACCTCGAAAATTTTTGCTTTCTGTAAAGCAAGCTTATATAATTAAAATTCACAGTCCTTGCTTTGTTTCATTTTCATTTTATTAGTGTTTTTTTTTCTTTTTCTAATCATGATCAGTTCACGATATTCTTGGTGTTTTTTGGAAGCGTCACATCTCCATTAAATTATATTCCCTTTTTGATTCTCAATTGGCTGAAGTCTTTCATGATTTGAGTTATATTTTATTCTTATATCAGCATTGTCTTTAGGATAGGAAAAACAATCTCGTTACTCTTGAGTCTTCTTTGGTTTTGCCTTTTTAAGTACATGCTTATGATCCCTCTTGTATTTTTTTTCCTGAAAAATTGAGTAGGTTTATATTTATTTCCTTTAAGCACTGTTTTTGGCTCTCTATAAGCTGCTTTTTTGTATGTCCCAACAGGAGAGAGCAAAGGCTGAGCTGATAAATAAGAAACTGCGCAGACAACTGGCAACCTTCCGAGTTCCTGATGTGATGGACTACGTGATGGAGAAAGCGGACCTGTATGACCTTCAGAAAAAGGTCAAGAGCTGGGAGAGGAAGGTGGACATTGCTGAGGTAATCTAAATTGTGTTTCTTTTGGTATTCTCAAACAAACCATTTTTTTATTATGAGCCCATTTTTATTTTCAGTTTTGATTCATTCAAGATAGGTCAGGTGTGTAAGAAAAATAAACACCTGATGTATTAGTAGCCTGTTCTATTTACCGTTACCTGTGGATAAAGGAGCCCAAGTCCATCAGAGTCGTTTGTATTGTTAATATCACAACCCCCGGGATCATGGCCCATCGCCATATTGTGTTTTGTTCATGCCTTTTTTCCGGTGTTTACAATATTTTGATAGATGCAGCAACTGTCTCTGTTTAGCTACTGTTTCAGCCTTTAGTGGTTCCACTTCTGTTGGTTGTGTTTTCTATCTGTTGGTTGTGTTTTCTAGGCTTGGGTTTGTGGAAGCCTTGTTGCTGGAGATTATATTCAGTGCAAAATTGAGGGAATATGTCACATAAATAAGAGTGTATCACTGCTTCAACACGAGGAGAAAATCTGAAGACTGCTTAGCAGCCTGTTTAAAGAGTGTGAGTTTAAAGGTCTAAGACCTTATCAAACATAGAATGTATTATGCCCACCAAATATGGGTTAGCAAGACATAGACTTATTGTGTAAGTGTAGGATACTCAGAGTTATTTTCCCCATTGTTTGTTCCAACGAAGATGGAGTGATTTTTATAGTATTTAGTAACAAAGATTTAACAATTGCTTTAAAGTGAATATTTAAGTTGGCTATAGTAGGGAAAATAAGGGATCTTTATTTGTATGGTATGTTTCATTTTGTTTCTTAGAAGACGTAAGTGATGAATAGAATCTTATTTAGCTATTTAACTCATTCGGGACACACGTCTGATAGCCTTGAGCTCCGTTGGAGATGCATTGGACGTATATGTCTGATAGCATTTCTCGACCATTGTGGCAGCTCACATAAAGGTATTCCAAAGAATAAACTTTTGTTTGACATTGCTAAGTTTTTTTTATTTTTGTATTTATTTATCTTTGACCGTATAGCATTGTTTCTGTAATTTTCTGTTGCGATTTGTGAAGGCAGGCGAGGCACCTAAGAACGCGTATCTTTGAGAAATACCATAAAAAGGACCATTCACAGTGACTGGAACTATTTCTTCACTGTATATTTGGACCGTAAATTGATGTTTTGATGTGTTTTTAGCTGCATTATAACTTTATCTTTTTTTCTGCATTTTTTCACTGTCAACTGAAAGGGGAAAAAAATTGGGGAGATCTCATACATCATTTTTGTAGGGGTTCTTGCAAGTTTAGGAATATATCTAGGCACACTGGGTTAGATCTAAAGCAAAGTCCAAATGTTGAATGTTAGACACTGAAAACGGACTTTAGAAATATAACAAGGGGAAAAAGTGGTAGACTTTCAAAATTGACCCAAAATCGCGCATCTCTAGATGCAAAACTGGTCCAAAACCTGCGTCCTGAATGAGTTAAATCCTACACGACTTTGTTTGTGAATTAAATAAATGTTTTGTTTGGTTGTATATCCTGTAAGCTTACAGTGACTAAAGACTTCATGAGTTCTGAACTTTCACCGCATGATTTTTCTCTCACAGATGGCTCTGAAGACACACCGCAACACATGGCGCCAGATGCAGATGAACAGTGCTGCGATGGGTCAGTGGAGAGGCATGGTGGAAGTATAAAGTGAAGACCTAAACTGATTCAAGTATTACATGTGCCTATAGAACCAACATAAACAGAAACACATCTGGGAAAAAGAGAAAATTTACTTTGTCTCGAGTTTTTAACTGGTACCTGTCAGACTGAAAGGGAAACTGATCCAAATTGTTTCTCATAAATGACAAGAAACTTAATCTAAATTGTTATCATTTTTGTGTGTAAACCAAGTGTAATGGAGGTATGAACAGCTAATACCAATCAAGCATTTCTTGTACATATTGGACTGAGAAAGATTGAAACTGGGAGCAGTTATTTGTGATGTGAAGTATTTAAACTCTTGATGTGTCAGTTCAAAAAAATTGTTTTGATACTTACTTCAGGGTATTAAACCAATTAAAGTCTTGTTTTCAAACAAGAAAAAGCTCAACAAAAAACTTTTCCTATGCTTGTGATATAATATATGGGAGAGTGTTTCATTCAGAAGGGGTTTTGCTATCCTTGCAAATATAGGAAGAGATTTAATACACAATGAATTTTATCAATGTCTGCTGTCACACTTGTACACTTTCCTCAGGTAAGAATATGTAGTGTCACGTTCATGTTTCCATGACTTGAGGTATGTGATAAATTTTGCCTTCTTCAGAGAAGACGTCTATTGCGGATGTTGTTGTGCTAGGGTAATAAAAAAAATATGGTTTGTTGAAAGTATTGACAACTGTTACAATGTGTACATTCCTACAAATGCTTCCAAGCATAAAGAAATTCAGTCTCAGAAAATGAGCGTTTTAAAAGGAAAATTTAAAGAGATAATTGTGTCCTTTGTTGTAGTGTTTCCTTTCACTAATAAACTTGTACATAACTGCTAGTTGAGTTTTTTGTGTTCTTTTAGTAGGCCTACATCTTTCTTCTTTTGTTTTTTATTGATTATAGTAGCGTGCAATCTTGTAAATTTAGTGGTGCTAATGAATTTAGGTTCATGAATATATTAATGGTTTTGTAAGTTTCTTTCTTATTAAGGCAATTGGATTATATTGACGTGCATTGTTTTTGAGAGGTCTGTGGACTCGGGAGTTCATTTTCACTGACTCTTCAGGATATTGTAATTATCCCATTTTAGTAATTTAACCCTATCTGTATACCCTGGGGTCATTTTGTGCCCCCCAGGTCGTATTCTTCACATTTTAAAATACTTCTAGTACGAAGATCTCTTTGAAACTTTCAGTATTTCTAAACAAATCATTTTGACAGACTGCTATGCAAAGCGTACGGATCAAATTAACGAGTAAATTTCCTCTGTGGAAAGTGGTGGCACTGAGTTCCCTACGCTGTATGGATACAATGGTAAAACTCGATGTTACGGATACGGTTAAACTATGGCATGACGTACAATTTTTTTATAGGTCACATAAGAGATGACAGTAGAAACTAGCACACTTGCAAAAGGGAAACTGTGCAACGTTATCAATCATTTTTTATTATCCTGAGTAATAAGACAAACAAAAACCAGTGCAGGCAAATTTCTGCCGTGGTTGATTGGTGAGATAAATAAGTTACATAAATAAAGTAAGATAATCTTTGATTTAAGCATTATATCAATTATTTGTACTTTGAAAATACAGAGAAAGAAGACAGCCACTTTTATGCAAATGCTCCATCTGCTATTAAAGACTGGAATATGATTTTTTTTCCAGTATACAAATCTGATGTAGTCAAAAAGACAGTGAAAGACTAGATATGAAAAAAAAAAGAAAATCAACAGAGTTCTGAAAAGCGAGGAAGCAACATGCTTCATTTATTTAGCTATATTAATATGATATAACCACTTCAATGACACTAAACCACAAAACATATCTTGAAAGGAATACTTAGATGAAAACATAACCTTCATGATGATAAATCGAGTGGTTAACATTTCTGAAACACAATGTTTAACTTGAAAAAAAATGAGTTCAAGAATTCTCAAATTATTTTAATGTATACATCATCAAATAATGATACCCAATTCATACCAACAATTTCCTGTCCCATGAACAAAGAGCATGACATCTACCCTGCTGATTATACTGCTCTATGATATCCAGTCTGGCTAAACAGTCAATTGGCCTTACTTTGTGAGTCTTTTGTCTCGCTGTGCCAGTCTATCCAAAGAGAGTCTGGGTCAAGCAATAAAAAGACGCCTGCCTCCCCACAGGGCGGGTGGGATCTGCCATCAAAATTAGCTCCAGTGAGTGTTACACTCTTACAATTAAAAAAACCCAAACCAAATAATGATACTGATGAAGACACTTTCAAAATGCAACATAAGCATGTATCCTAATATTGCGATTGGTAGTTTTGTATGACCGAGACCTTCCATTTTGCGCCACTTAGCATTTTGGGGGATGTTTTCACTCCTGGGTGGAGGGGGGGGGGGGAGGGGGTGGTGTAGGATGAGCAAGTTAATTTGCTTACTTTTCTCATCATCAGAAAAGTAGCTACAAAGGCACTGTGTTTCTGTATTGACAGTGAAAGGTCCATTCAATTCTCAACTCATTTGATTAGCACCAAAGACTTGTACATTATAGCAGTGCACCATAACTTAGTCAAAAGGCATGTCAGGCACGTTGCATGACTTAAAATGTCATGAGAAAATGTTTTAAGTTCGGTTGGGTCAGGAAACTAATTGCTCAAAAAGCAAAACAAACCCCATATTTAGGCAAGACATGAAAACTACGCTAACATTGTATTGCTCTTGAAAAACAATATACAATGGCAGAAAATATTAATACCTGAGTCATTCTCAAAGTGTGGGAACAGCTGGACAGCCTCTTTTCCTCCATCTTTTACAAATGACACTCAAGGAGCATAATAATAATAATGTGTGTGAAATAAGGCTTAATTTTTCTATAAACCTATACCAATTTTTACATGGATATTGGCCAAAGTTAACAAATTTACAAAATTCAACTCACTGACATTGATAAAGCGTTTTACTTTTAGAAAGAGCTGTGTTTATTGGAGGATGGGGTGGGGGGGGTGGGGGAGGGGGGTTAGGGCATTGGAAAGCAGGTATCTGATAGACACTCGAAGGGTAGCCAACTCACAGCAAACAATTTTTTTAAAAAGCCAATGCCAAGTAGGAAAACTTCAGGTCGCAATTTTGACAAACTTCCATGAAACTAAGTTTGGTGATGTATGTATACATGTGTTGATGTATTACATTGTATATGATCACAAACACACTTTTTATGAAGTTGAAGTATTAGGAACCTCCCCGTACAGACCACAGAATGAAAACCCTCCAGTTTCAATGTAACTGTATATTGATGGTGTTATACTTACCCTTATAGCTAAAAACCATTACTGAGGTTGATTTACTGGTTCTTAATAGAAATCAGGAGTCAGCATGCACTTTGAATTATATGAAAGTAAGGAAGGCTAACTTTAGAGCCTTCTTTCATTTTTTAAATCAGAGTAGCTTTTTCACCTGTTAAACAATTTTCTAGAAACCAGTTGGAGCAAAGCTTCATCAATGTGTGCATTTCAACAAGAATGATGCTCTCTTGTACTGCATTTCCAATTAAAATCAGTATACCGATACATCTAAGTTGCGTGTAAGTCATACTGTTTAAAGCATACCATTCCCCGAGTTAGGGTATAAGAACTGATAAACTTTCCTGAGTATATTTTGAAGGCAACTCCATTGCCCTCTCATCAAACAGGAAAGACTGCATTAAAATGAGAACATTTTTTTAATAGCGGTCGGGAAAATTTGTATTGTTGAACAGAATCTTTGAAGAATGCATCTTCATTTGAATTATGTCCATAGTCTCTGTCTTCTGATATTATATATATACATAAAATAATATGTCTATACATATATGATGTGTGTGTCTGTAAATTATGCAATACGTTCACTACAGTTTAAAAATTATGGTTTGTAAAACAGTATGTTCCTGGGTGAAAAACGTAACGCCGTGCTTGTCTTTCATTAAATACTTAATTCACAGATTCTATCAAGCATCTCAAAATGTTCTTAATATTGATCAATAAAACAAAATGTTAACATATAAAGAATGATCATGCTGATAATTTAACATAGGGAGAGATTAAATTCAAACCAACAATGACACGAGATCTCTGCCTGAAAGTAACCCACGCCTGAGATTCCAGTGCTACAGACGAAAGTGTATGGGAAAATGGTCAGGCTCTTTGTCTCGCCCACAACAGATGTGAGTTTGTGTCCCACGAGGAGAATACAGTTCATTGTGTATCTCTTTCTGTGTAGAAGGAGATTGTAGCCTGCATATTCCTGCCTGGTTAACCTTGAAAGCTGGGGTGAAGCAGCCTGCTTCCTAACTGATAAGAATTGTGTCAACGGGGAAGGGAGAAGTTTAAAATCTGTTTTAATGTATCATGACAAACAGATTGAAAACCTGTAACATTAATGAATCACATTATATTTAAATTTGATATTCCAACCTACCAGCCTTAAAAGTAGGCCTATTGTAAAATAATGCCCATATAAGAGCAAGATTGACCGTCTCATTAAAAGTGAGGTCTTAGCAACTGGAAGAGAATTCAAAGGCTTCTTAATTAAAAGGTTAGTTTTAACTCCTCCATCTTTTTTGACAAATGATACATCACATAGCAACTTTCATGAATTTCTTTGTACCAGATTTCATTTCAAAATATACATTCCATTCAAATACTGCAATAAACTAAAGTCAAAACAGACACATATTACATTGACTAAATTTTGATGATAGGCAATATTGTCAAGGTTGTGTCGATCAATGTAAAAATTCAACAACAAAAGATTTGTAATACACATGAGACACATCACTCGGGCCAATACAAGTTAATCACTAGCCCATTAATTGACAAAAAAGTAATAATATGATAAGAAAAACCGGTATCAGGACTGCTTAATGCATGGAATTATATTAGTCAAATAGATTAAGGAAGGTAAAAGTGTTCTAGAACACAGACAATAATGGTTAAGATTTTGTGGGACCAGTGTGGTATACGTTCACAGTGAAAAAGCATAAAAGGCATGTAACACAGCCTACCTGTATGGAGGCACAACTCAAGCCCTTATCTTTGACTTCAAAATGACGGATTTAAGATTAGTCAGCTCAAACAAAAGCAGAAACAAACATTCAAAGAAGAGCCAATAATAGGGGTCTAAAAACCCTTAACAGTATTTAATCATGTCCACGTATAAAAAAAGGCACATAAAATTATCGTCTCCACGTTAATACCTGTCTGGCTCACTCCATGTCTCATCAACTCCCGGTACGTCACCATGTGTGCACATTCCCTTCGCTATAAACAATCTGCCTAACAGTGTTCCCTTATCCAAAGTAATGGTGAGGACAAGTAAAGTATTGATAAATAAATAATTTAAGTAATATACCATAGAATATTCCAATACAAAATTAAATAAGTTTAATAAAATCTGTGAAGCAAATTTAAAGCAAGTCTCATATAACAGTTATAAAATGGCAAATGCCTTGTCAAAATTGAAAAGGTTAGCATGATCTCGACTCAATATTTTGTCTCTTACACATCAACATAACAGGTTATGAAACAATAGAGCTATGAACAAAAGAAAAGAATACTGTTTTTAAAAGTTTTATGAAGAAAAAAAAAGTTGAGTGTATCAAGTTTATTCATCCTCATCTGTTCAATTAAAAAATGTGGGTTTCAGAAAATAAGTATGTGTAGCAACAATAAATTACTGCTTATAATCTAATACTACTTTTGTCATTTTTGGACCAATACACCAAATAATGTAAACTTCCATAACCTTGAAATTTTTCTTTCGTTAAGCAAACTCATCTGAAAAGAACTGATTTAAATCTCAGTCTTGTTGAATTCCTCTTTAGAATAATTAAATGACATTAACCTCAATACTTTAAGAAATGTAGTGCAAAAATGTTTAATCTTTGATAAATGTAATTAAAGAGTAGAAAACTAAAAATCTGAATCTAGTGAAGCCCTGGTGAAGTTTCAACTCCTCAAAACAAAAAAGGAAATGCATTCAGTTATTTCAGTTCATCTCAGTTGACTGCTCTTGGAGTGTTTGCATGATATAATCAAAGAATGCTGCCTTTCCTTTTTTCCTTTGAAAAATATGTTTATGGTGCAAATATGAGACTCTTAATAATATAATGCTATGACTATGTACAATTGATTGCATGAAGTTCTCAGTATGAAAGTGAAAAAAGTACATCACTTTTTACAACTCTGAAAACACTGGCATCACCGATACTATGATAATTTTTTAGAATGTGACAGAATATTGAGGAACTTTGGTGTTTATCTTATTTTGTCATTTAAAAAAAAGCAGTAAAACTTCCATTATAAGGTCTTATCAGAACGCCTTATTCTCAAGAAAAGCAGCCATAGCAATTCATGAAAAATAATCAGCTTGAATTATTGAGCAAGCAGCATAGGACAGCGGTTCAGATCAAGGTAGGATATCTACCTATCTCTAAAAAATGTAGTTCTTTACAGGTGGTGGCATATCAAAACAATAACTGAGAGTAAGAATAAACATAATTGAATATGAACCTTTCTTTCTTTAATTGTAACTCATCTTTTTAACAAAATTTGTGTTCAACATCAACAGCTGCTGTGTTTCTCTTTGCAAGAAGAATTCCTTTGGTATAAGATTGAAGGCTTTTCCACATTTTTATCTTATTGGAAAACACTAAGAAATGGATGATTATTTTATTCCTGTGAATGCGAGTGCAAATACTAACTAAATTAATCTCAAAGTTCTGTTGAATAGAACATACAGTGGGGGTGAAATATAGTATCACCCAAACAGCAAACACACGGCAAACCGTAGGAATGGAAAGGTATGAACATTGTCAAATTTCCCCCCTTCAGAAGACTAATGATTATCTTTTCTTAAGTTTTAATCAAACTTTGCTCTCCCCATTTCCTGTTCTCCTTGAAGCGGGCAGAATGTCCTCAATAGTAAACTCAGTTGGGCGTTCAGGCTCTCTTGCAGCTGCATCTTCATCTGAGTTATGCCCAGAGTCTCTGTCATCTGACCTGTGAAGGTGTACCAAAGACAATATTGATAATGTACATATAAGTGTCATATTTTTTGGAGGGATCATTCAATATTCTAGTTTAATTCATTTTAGTCAAGGATACTTATTCTGGCTAAAAATTGCTTACATTTATTAAAACTCTCCACAAAGTTTCAATATATTTTCCACTTCAGAAAAAAACCCTGCAAAATGTGATATTATACAAGAGATTTCTCTCTTGCACTGTTCATGGTAACATTATTTTAATTGGCAAGAGGAGCCAACATTCATGGCTTCACCAGCTGATGGGAAGTGAATATAATCAACAGCAGCAGAATTGGTATGCATGTATTCATTCCACACTACAGACTTGGGGGGAAAAAACATTATTAGTGAAAAGAGGCATTTTGTTCCTTGCTCTTGAAACAACAACATTGACTGGAGAATGAAGTAAGATAATGGGAAGTAGGCCTAATCACTAGAAACAGACTACTGTGACCATGTCTCAAAGCTTATATTTGGTTTGGACCTCAAATTCCCTGTAACTAAAATAAAAATGAGATAAAAGTGTCCGTACAAAAGTGATTAGCGTAGGTTGGTCATTGTGTGTCAATGTCAAGACACTCAAATCAACTATAAAATAACAGCTACCTGGTAGATATTTGACTTCCAATAAACTTGGCCGTGGATGCTGTTGCCCTGTGCATGTCTGCAGCCAGTTGTTTCGCATGATCATATTTCAAGACTCCCACTTTTCTTAGAATAGCGATGCCAGGAATCCACAAGACTGAGGCAAAAACCAACAAAGCGCAGAGCACGCTGGCATACCATGGATAGGAAACATTGTCCATCAGTGTCTGTGAAGAAAATGTAATGTACAGTTGAGCTGTTATAATGGCCACCTTTACAAGACAACCACTTGTTGAAACGATCACTTCCTATTCAACAGGTATAGTATTTGGAAAGGTATGGTATGATTTCACTTTGACAATTCTTTCAAAAAAGTATAATTTTTCAGATCTCCGATAGGACCCAGCCAAGGGTGAGAAGAGGTAAGAAAAGTTCCCTAACAGCCCAAGTTTAAGAACATCTCATCGAGGATTAAAACAAGTGTCACTTGCATCAAAGTCCAGCAAGACATCAACTGAAGAAATGGTGCAACTCATTTATTTGACAGTCTGTCAATGTAAGAAGCCATATCATTAACGTCTTCCACTTAACAAAGAAAAAAAATAGGGATTAGACTTCAGATTTACAAAGGCACAGATGCTGCAATTTTCTTTAACTCAAAAGGATTCTTACATTTCCAACTGTCATCTACACAGGCTTAACCACAAGAATGAAGCCCACTGAAAACATCCATAATATATGAACAAATGCTAGAAATTCTCTTTGAAAGCTTTACCCTATTGGACAGCAGAAAAGAATTCACACTTCTCCGAAAAAAAAACTCCTGACACCCTCCTGTAGCTATTGTAAATAATAACATGGGAACAATTTGACAAACTGCCATGGTTTGAAAATAGAGAACTAACTCAACAATTAACTAAAACAACAACAACATAAACAACAGCAACACTTACTGTAGCAGCATTGTAGACTTTATAAGTAATAGGATTTGAGAACTTGATGATAAGAGTACCAAGCAATAAAGACACAATGGTGAATGGAGCGATGAACTTCCAGCAAATTTTCCAGTACATGCTTGGTTTATGTCCAATCATGTACTGAATTTCTTCACCAAATCTGGGGATTGAAAAAAAAAAGCATAGGAATTGAACCCTGTGTTTTCACAATGATCAAGGACGATACAAGAATATTTGATCTCACCAACAAAACAATTTAAAATTCAGGATAGGTGAAGTCAATAATGTTCTGTTTTGACTACTTTTAAGGAAACTGCTCCACAAAATTATACCCCCTCCCCTAACCCCCCAATATGTTTCATCTGAAATTATGAATGTAATGAAAACAGTACCATATAAGGGTTTTAAAACATTATATTTTCAGGTCCATCTGATTTCAATTTCTCAAGTATGAGTTCACAATGTATCATACACAATTTAAAAGAATAAGCATCTGTTATGAGAGAATAGCATAACTTTTTTGTACGTCTATCTAATGACTCTTTGAGAAGCACCTCTGTGTGTATAAGGATTAGTGTGTGTGTGTGTGTGTGTGTGTGTGTGTTTGTGTGTGTGTGTGTGTGTGTGTGTGTAGGTGTGTGTGTGTGTGAGTGAGTCCGTTTGTGTGTGTGTGTGTGCCTGAGCATGCATGTGTGGTGTGGGACTGTGTGAGCATGTATTAACCATACCTCTGCAAGTTTCTTCTTTGTGGAGATCAATAAAGGTTATCTAATCTTATCCCTTATCTTATCCTAATCTACATTTGTGGTTGCTGTTCTTGGATAAGGTTTCTTTACCTGTTAACTCCAAAGACCCATCCAACAGAGAAACACTCTCCAAGAGCAATCAGTATCAAAGGAAAAGAGCCAGCAAATGTGTCAAACAATGCCACCCAGTATGAGCCGCTTCCCAGCACAAAGAGGAGACCAACAAGGCACATGAAGGTGCATAAAATACCTGAGGAACAACACAATTGGTCAATGTACAAGGTGGTTAATTTCACACTTATGAAATTCCTATAAAATTAAATATTTTTATCATCTTTATCTCTACTCCCCTTTTTTGTGTTTGTTACTCTCTTGTAACATCTCTTAATCTCGAGTACTTAGATGACCTCATTGTGTTGCCAATGCCATAAAACACAAAGCAAAACAAACAAACAATGGTTAAAAAAACCTAATAGAGCAGATACTTAGAGTGGCAAGTCAAAAAAGCAGCAAAAGAGCTTAAGCTTACGATTATTAGCAGCAACACGACATAGGCCTAATATGTGGAATTTTGAAAGAACACACTTTCATGGAAATGTTCTTCCTTCATTTTCTAATTGACTTCAGAATTGCTTGTCTTATTCTCTTAAAACACCTTTCTAGATTATTTTCAGTCACAGTGTATTGTACGAGGGCTGTCCCACGGAAAACTGGAAAAGGTCCATAAAAGCAACAATCTTTGTTCTAGTATGATAAAAATGTAACACATCATACCTCAACATGTGATTTCTCAATGTAATCACCATCCCGCTGGACGCATTTTTCTCATTGCTGGATCATGGAGAAGATACCCTCCCTGAAGACTTTTCCGTCAAGGGATTTCAACAAATCTTTCATGGCTTCCATGAGGTATTTGTTGTCAGTGAATCGCTTTTCAGAAATATTGCATTTCATAGGCTCAAAAAGGTGATAATCTGACAGGGCCAAGTCAGGACTGTGAGGGGGGTGTGGCAGAACTTCCCAGCCGAACCTTTGGATCCAGTCTTTGGTAGCGTTTGCAGTGTGTGGCACTGCGTTGTCATTCGGCAAAATGACCCCGCTGGACAACCGGCCTGGTCTTTTTCAGCGCACAACCTCTCTAAACTTAATAAGAGTCTGGCTGTATCTGTTAGCATTAACAGTTTGTCCTGATTCCAGAATGTCAAGAAGCAGAACGCCCTTAGAATCCCAGAAAACCGTGGCCATGAGTTCCTTCACCCATGGCTGAACTTTAACTTTTTCGGGGGAGGTAAAGACGTGTGCTTCCAAACCATTGAATCCCTCTTCGTCTCAGGGGACATGTGGTGTATCCAGGTCTCATCACCTGTAATAATGCTTCTCAGGAATGCTTCATCATAATAATTCATAATAATATTGTTGAGGTCTCCAGATGCGTTCATGACTCCCGTGACAGCTTGGCGACAACGATTCAACAAAGTCTGAGACACTTCAACACATTGCGTCTTGTGGACAGCTGTCAGCTCTTTTGGGACCCATCGAGCAGAGACTTTTCGACAGTGCCTCTCATCAAACACTATCCTATGGACAGTTAGCTTTGAAATGTTTAGCGGCTCGGAAATTTCGCATATTTTTAGGCGCCTGTCGGTTTTGATGAGATCGTTGGCTCTTGTTGTCCTCAGTCTTGGCAGAAAAACAAGGTCCATTGACATCCATGTGCACGGCTTTGAAAATACTACACCACTCATATACCTGTGACTTTGCTATTACTTTCTCTTCGTAAACTGACTTTATTTCAGTGTGTATTTCTATAGGTTTGAGACCTTTTGCAGTCAGAAACCGAATGACAGACCTCACTTCTACCCGTGACCAATTTTCCAAGGGGGTAGCCATCTTTGGGAAATTGCTGTGTTCGTTTGGTTTGTGCAATGCTCATGGTGCTCAATTGGGAGATTCCTAAATGATTGTTTTACAAGTGTGTGTTTACAGAATATGAAAATATTAAATAATTTTTAAATTACAGCCAAATTCCGGTTGTGAGTGTGACAGCCCTTATACTTTAGCAATTTCTAAATCTTAACTATCTTGTAAGTGATTTACTTTATCCATAAACTATGCTAGGCACATTTTGAAATTCAGTAATATATTTGTATTCTGTTTATAAAAAAGGAATGATTCAATTCAGTTTACAGTGATGTAGATGAAGAACATATAAACAAACTTACAGAAAACAATTTAACAAACCTGACACAAGCCACTTCTTCTTCATCCAAGGGAAAAGATCCAAGTCATACAATGAGGTGGTCACTCCTTCAATTGTTCCAAATTCTGAACCCAGTCCAAGGGAAAGCAACATCAGGAAGAAGACAATAGACCAAAATGGAGCTGATGACCCAAACTCGTTGATGGCTTGGGCGAAAATGATGAATGCCAGACCTGTACCTTCCACACCCTACAAAGATTAAAATCAACAGTCTTTTTTCAAAAACATATGTCTCTGACTGTATTTGTTTTAATAAGCATTTTACGGCTCTTGCAACACAATTAGGTCATATAAATGACGAAGATTTGAGGCGTTACAAGTGAATAACAAACATTTTTTTAAAATAGAGGAGAGATAAGGGAAGTACAGGTTTGATAGCAAAGAATGAGCAAACTACATCAGAGCACCCACTTTGATTATAAAGATATAATTTTGTAGTCTCCCTAAAGCATTTTTTATAAACTTCAGTTTGCAACCAACATAATATTCTTAACTTACCACATGGAATTTTTTTTTAATAGGCTAGAGTGTATTATGTAAATCTCTATATTTTTTCCCCTATGTAGAACAATACAATGAGACTAAAATCAAAAGGCAGTTTAACCTCTGAGTCTGAAAAAAAAAGTTCAGCATTATGGTCTAAAGGTCTATAAAGCTTCAGCTTATCATTTTTTGCAGAGTCATCAGTTGGCTATGATGGTTTTACTTTTCAACCAGTTTCCTTCTGTCTCTTCTCACTGAAAGTGCTGCTGACACCAGAAGGCAAAACAAACTTAAACCAGTACACCTTCAATTCAGAATTATTATCTGCAGATAATTTTGATATCAATTAACAGACTTCAACAGTTAACATCTGACAAAGAAGTAAGTGATTAGTTCAATTTACTTAAAAGTACAAATATCTGTCTACACTACCTTATTGAGATCATCAGCCAAATTGCAGGCGCGAAATGTCTTGGTAGTGAAGTTTTGGTATGATGTGAGATTATCTGCGAAGACTTCTTTATACACGTCTCGAGTTATGTTGCCAACATTGTTGTATCCATAGCATAAGAGGGTGCTGTTGTTGTTGACTTGCTCACCACACACAGATCCAATGATGTCAATATTGCTGCAGAAAACAAATTAATGTCCTTTGTTTTAGTAAGCATTTTATGGCACTTACAACACAGGTCAAATAAGTGCTCAATATTAGATGAATTACAAGAGAGTAACAAACACAAAAATGAAGGAGGAGAGATCGATAAGGTCTGCTAGTGTATTCTTGATCAATATAATCTGTAATAGGTAGCTAGGTATTTTGTTCATTGTTCGATGTTATTGTACCATATCACGTAAAAAATACACATTTCACATGAGAGACTTTCGTGGATCAGCATAAATTACAGATGACATACACATACCCATTACATATTAAAACAGGATTTGTAATGTTTTATGAGTACAAAAAGTCCCACATCACAGGAGAGATTTAACTGCATGGACAAATTGCTCATTAAATTTTTATGTGCTAAAAAAGGTGAACTTATCAAATGTATTGCAAAAGAAACTCAACATTTTTGACCAGCACTCAAGAGGAGGTAATCTTAATCCCATTAGAAATAATGATCTCAACTTGTATTTTGTAGACAGATTTATGTTTTTCCACTTTCGCATGTTAGCTCATTATTGAAAGAGAGAGAGTGAGGGAAAGTATGGGGGGAAACGGAGTCAGATTTCAGCTGCTCAAAGATTCTAGCGAGGACCATCATGACTCAAATTTGTTTGATATAATTATGGGTTGTTCTGTCTAATAATTGTTAATACCCTCATCCTCCTACTATCCTTCTGTTTCCAGATTCCAGTGCATTCAGATCTTACCAGACTCTTAGGCCTTACATTTAACCAAATAAACATCTTATCACTAACACAAACACTAGTATAGAAAACAGTCGTATCTAAATTATTTTGTTTTAATTTTACTGTTGTTTGGCTGCTTACTGATCTATGCAGTTATTGAACTGGACAGTCGCCTTGAAGCCAATCACAGCAAAGATCACTGCACAGGCATAGATAGCAGTGAACCAATTTGTGATGCCCACAAGAATTGCATCCTTCTCCACGTTGTTCTTCATGGGGTTGTAGCTAGAGAAGGCAATCAGACCACCAAAAGCCAGACCAAATGAGAAGAAAATCTGAGCAGCTGCATCAAGCCAGCATTGGATGTTCATCAGTTGATCCATCTGTGAAAGCAGTTCAGAAAAAAAATGCCAGTAAAATTCTATTGATGAACTGAAAACAAAGGGAACAATTTAATCATCAAATTCACAAAAATAATACATCACTTGTAAATCAAAAACAGTAAAAGTCTTGACACAATAGATGATTTGATTTCGTAGACTCTCAGTAAAAAAAAGTAGGCAAATTGCTCTACGTAATTTATGAACACTGTCAGAATGGGCAATTCTCCAGAGTACCCGCAATGACATCTTATCAATTGCTGCTCCTGGAAAACTATCTGTGGGAGAGACATAATATTATATAGTAATAAGATTAAAACAGGACTAAAGCTTGTGCTATGAAACTATTAATTTTGAGAAATGTACGGAATCTTTTCTCCAGAGGGGACATCTATAATATTGAAAATGTATCGATTGTGCAGGGCATTTTATTAAGAAGAATAATAGATAGCATTTGTATAGCGCAAATCCCCACCCAAAAGCAAGCTCTATGCGCTTCACAATCTATGCTATTACCTCAGCATTATGAGAGCTTTCTGAAACAACCTCAACTTCTTGGGAAGCATACAGTTCAAGCGGGCATTTATAAGCGCTAAAACATTAACATACTGACATGATCTTTCGCTGTCTATTGCCGGGTACCCATTCCTACTTGGATGAAGTGGGGAAAATTCGTGTAAAGCGCCTTTTCCAAGGACACAACATCGGGCCCTCACGGTTACGAGTCCGGTAGCCTAACCACTAGGCCACCGACGCCACAAAAACTGAACCATCTTTTTCTGTTATGCCCTTGTTAATATTAGCTGAATTAACCGTGAGTCGATTCACAGTATATGAACACTTGGGCTGTGAAGACTAAAGCAGTCTGAAGAGAGAAACAATCCAATGCTACCCACCCTAGGTGTGAACATATGAGCCAGCCCATCAACAGCTCCTTCCAGTGTTATGCCTCGGATGAAGAAGATGGTAAGCACAATATATGGGAATGTGGCCGTGAAGTAGACAACCTGGGGACCCACAGATAAGTTAAGATAACGAATACATAACTGATTATCCAAAGAAATTACAAGTAAAAAATAAAAAATAAATCAAGCGGAGGAATTTTCTTAACAAAAGGTTATGCAAAAGATTTATTACAATTTTCTTGCGTAAGTGGCTTTGAGCATAAAAAGTGAAACCCCCACCCAAAAACCAAAAAAAAAACACACACAAAAAAAAAGGCCACTTCATCATCATAAGAGGTATCAGTGTCCGGAAATGCAGGCTATCACTGCTTATCCAACTTGACCTAAATGAGAACAAAATGTAAAAGGAAATAAAAGCTCAGAATTTCTGTTGGTCATAAAAGTCAAGATGCTAAGCTATCTCTTGTCCAGCTGATTTTCAGTTGCTTTCTTTATGATCTATCTCTTAGCCTCCCGGGGTAAGTGGGAGGGGGGGAGATCAGAATTGTTTTTTCTCTTTCCTGTAAACCCCACTTCCTTCTCCAGCTAGTGTATCCCTTTCTGCCTTTCTTCTTTAAAAAAAACAACAACTAAACTAAACAAGGCAGACAAGGAAACCTGTTCCTTCTCTTTACTATCCTTCGGTCTACAAAAAAATAGGCCTAGTCAGCCGAGTTTAATTAGTGTGTGGTTTTAAAAACGGTTAAACTGCTCATCTAAGACAAACCTTTCCTGAGGACTTGATACCTTTGCAGATACACAGGTAGATGACTATCCAAGCAAAAATATGGCAGAGGAGCATCTTCCATTTCACTCCGCCGCTCTCGTCCAGGCCAGGGGAGATGTCGAGGGCTTGTCGGTACCAGAAATATGACGTGGGTCCGCTAATGTCACATTCTTCCACCGGCACTGTCCGGTTGTCCGCAGTCACGTAGGTTGGACATTCCGACCAGGGCAAGGGGCTCTGAAGAAGGTTTAAGTTTTGGTAAGAATTTTTCCGAAACTTGCAACACAATCATAATTAGATCATATTATTATAAGTGTCCAAGATTAGAGGTGTTACAAGAGATCATCATCATCCGGTGCCTTGCCGACTGGTGTGGGCGATCATGGACCTCCACTTCACTCTGTCTTGCGCTGCAGCAATGATGTCCGTTGTTCTTGCTGCTCCTAGCCATGTTGTCATCTTGTCCAGTATCTTTTCCCCCTGTCTGCCTCTGCCTATCTTTCCATCAAACGTGCTTGTTGTTACAATATTCTCTAATGCTTCTTTCCGCATTGTGTGTCCGTAGAAATTTGCCTGTCGCTTTCTTACAAGAGATAACAAAGACAAAAATGAGGAAGACAGACAATTGGACAGACAATTGTTTGATAGGAATGAAGGAGCAAAGCACACTCGGGAACCTTCCAACCACCCACAGACGATATCTAGTAGGCCTACTAAAGTGTCTCTTTTTGTTTTGTTTTTTCATTTGTCTTTTTTAAATCAGTACACAAAAAGAAGGATCTATTTTACTTTTTCAGGACAAAAATCTATTATATAAAGTGTAACGTAAGTAGAGACGGGAAATAAGCTGGGTGGAAGGCGGGAGGGGTGGTAGCCTTTTGTGAGGGAGGGGAGCACACACAAACACACAGAGAGAGAGAGAGAGAGAGAGAGAGAGAGAGAGAGAGAGAGAGAGAG